AACTAATATTGCTTAAAGGGTAAATCACTAATTGTAAACCCTACCAAATGCAACAATCTGTATACCAAAACAGTAAGTACCGAAACATTCAAAAAGTCATATATATATTAAAAATATAATAATTTCATAATTTTAGCAAAATTATGTGAAAGTCACAGCAAAATATTGTCTAGATTCAGGATTGGGTAATAAGCAGCACTGAATTTAAATTGCCTGCATTTCACCTTGACAAGATGTCAAAGTGAACATTGTTTGATGAAAAGGATGGACTAGCAGCACGAGTACCCTCTTATTACCTAATACCAAAAATAATTGTTTACTACTTGCAGTGGATACTTTGCCAGTTGGTCATCTCCATCCACTACACTAAACCACAGCTCACCGATTACGCTGCCGGAGATTAATGTACGGCCATGCATTGTACACGGCTGCGTGTACTTCGCTGTAATATGAATACGATACTGATCGATTGGAGAAAATCGCATTATGGCTAATGTGCCTGCCAAGTTGTGAAATTTATGGCCTGAGATTAATGACCGCTTTTACAATCCGAAATGATCAAAGATATGGAAACATTACGACGGATTATTACGGGGAAAAATATGGCTGCCCAAGACAAACCGTTTCAACACAACACTGCAAACTAGTCCAGCACATGTACAACGTTAACAAGCGGTGTATATCCCTGTTACAGAGTAATTATGATTTGACACCTGCATTTGACATTAAATAGCAAAATTTATTTCCCACTATAACATACTTGATTTCCGGCCAATTTTTTTCTGTAACTAAGTTTCTTCATAAAAATGAAACCCATCACAATACGACTGAACATCCAACTTGACACCTTGGCAGCGCGAAAATCACTGCATGCTTTCTACATCAGGTCTAATGAGAGCTTCTGCAAAAATACCGTTATTAATGATACACAATCGTCCACTGGCAAAGACACAATTAAACGCATTAATCATATTTCACAGCACTTCAACCGAAGAAAGGCAGACCATGACCGCATCCATGTACACGGTTTTCACACAATAGAATCGTTCTGATATACAGGTGAAATTATGACCTATTTGAAATAACTGTAACAATAAATTTGGATCAAATAACTCGAATCCGGATTATTTCAACCCTGGCACAAAACCGTACACGAATCAAACACCAGGTCGATTCTCAACACGTCAATCTTTAATGTCGCATCAGGCAGTACTTATTTCCTAACTTTTTGTGCATAGTTTGATTCTCACACATTAAAATAGTAAAAACAGATAAGCTACCAAAATCGAAACTAACACCACCGCAAGTTTACACCTGTTAGCCTCTGCATTAACAAATTCCAAAACTATATTTCCATTGTTAAAATCAAACGTCCATGTCTATATTTTCCCAGAAAAATGTTACAGACATATTCCTTTGCAAAAAAAGCCCATAAACTTGAAAAACAAAATAGGCCGATACAGAAGGTGTAACTGGGTCTGCATCTGTAGTGCTTTTATAGATAATTCCAAGGATCTCAAAGAGTACGTTCTATAGTGACCATACACTATAAAACTGCATGTAAACCACAGGGATACCCTCCCATGTATTTGGCAAGCAGACTACAAGCGCAACCGCAAAATTAGCAAAAATGACTGTCCGACGATATCATTTCAGACTGCCTAATTCCCCCCAGATTCGGGTCAAATCCCAATCCACTATTCAATTTCTAACCATTTCAGCATTGCGCAACCGGGATACGGGATTGTCCGGAAGAGGACACCGCAAGCGTGCGGCACTCGTGGATCGGGTGGCCGTAGCGTAAGTGAAGCGAACGTAACGCACACACTATTTGTACACACATCTACAGACTATGTTCTCGTGATTACGCCATCGCGCCGTAATTTCACCCAAAGAAACTGCCAATCAGCCCCGGCAAGAAGTATTTTCCATATGCCGGCTAGAAAACAATCCAATACGAAAATAAGCACCCCGCGGTGTAAGAAAATGCAATCACGCCATCAACGATGGACAAGAGCTTTTCTTCTCTATTCTGCTGAAGAAAACTTCCCGCTGATGCAAATCCATATCAAAGCATTTTTTGTCGCGGCAAGAGCTTCATTAAGTGACTGCACCACCAGCCGTGCTTCAGCATTGATTTCAGCACTATCGCTTCCGGTAAAGGCCTAATTTATCACATTGCATGATTCTGTAGCCCAATTCGAGCAAACTATTGTACAATCGGTAGAAAGAGAACAATAAAAAACCTTATATCGGTTTTTATTTACATATAATCGCTAGTTTTCCACTTTATTGGCTATTTATTTCTTTTATCAGTTCTTTTTCCAGTAATTTCCGTAAAAGTACTGTTAATACATACAGCAAAAAATCACTGAATAAACACACCATTCCTTCTGCCGGAATATTGTTAATCATTGTTAGGTTAGCAAGTATTTGTACATAGCTGGCCATCATTTCTACATCTTATAAGAATAAGGAATCATCACGCAATGCCAGCTAATCGGTATACTGCAGGATGTTTATGTTTGAGATTAGCATAACGGCGAATCCCGGCTAAACAGAAAAGATACACTGCATAATCCAGTTAACCACTTTATGTGTCGTAATCGTATTGACCCGGTAATTATCCCGATTTCCCTCCGACCAGCGCATTTCGCACTCTATTCATTCAGATTAGCTGGCCGACCAAGGAAAACTGACATTGTATGGAGGGTAATAATTTGTTTAAGCGCTGTATTATACAACAAAACACCGCTTCCCACTGCAGCGGAAATCGTTAAAACCAATTACTCCGCAATGGTCGGCGCAACGAAAAAAATCACAAAAAAATCAATGGGCATCGGTATTTTAAGGCACTGATAAGGGCAAGTTAGAGCATACGCGATTCTCATTCAAACAATCATTCCGACCAAAACCCCCGCGTGATGCCTCATCCACACAAATCGGCGTTTCTTTCGAGTGCTACGTGATTTTTCAACTGGATAAGAGACTGCTCTCCATATATGCGTTTCGGCCGTATAATCGAAATCGAATTTGCTACTGTACGATCCTAACACACAAGTATACTCTGTCCTGCCAGCAAATCTGTCAAAAACAATCCAGGCATGAAGGAGATGAACCGGGGCTGGAAATTTCATTTATTTTCTTCCTGAATAACTACGCCCGACAAGTGGCCCGTGCGAAGCACACTTGATCCAATTGTTTAAATCACATTTGGCATTTTCCGTCTGTTTGACGGGATACGTGTTATCTTTGTCCCGCATCTCATATCCGCTTCCCGTATAACCAGGTCACACTCAAGAGAGAAGAGCAGAATTCCCATAGAAAAACAGAATTTATTCGGTGTTCAAGCCTAGCAGGCGCTTCGCGCATTCCAGTACGCATATTCTTGGGAATTACAAGTCGACACTTTTCCGGGACAACGGCCTGAACTTGTCACTTTCTGTCAGGTTTTCTTTGCTCTGACTGATTTCTGCTCCATATTCGGAAAGTTACAACACCGAATCAATCCAGAAGCTGATGGTCTAATCAATCGATACAGTAACGCAAAAGCTAATGAAAAGGCAAAATTACAGATCTGACAGAAAACTTTCGCGTAAAGTACCGCAGTTAACAAGACTATCGCTTCATATTTACCAGAAATTCTAAAACAATTCCTAAATTTACTGAAAATATCCGACCATATCTGAAAAAAACTACTGCAACTATGAACTATCCATTTCCGGAGATTTTATGCGATGTCTCAAATTGAAATAAAATTATTTAGATTACGTTAATTTTAAAGCTCATTGTCATGAAAGTTTATTTTGCGTATATTTCAACTGGTTCGGTAGCATAGCATGTATGTTTAGCGATGCCAAAGACATAGTGTATTAAATACTGTACAACGAGATACACAGCAGGTTCAGTTAGCCTTTTTCAGTTCTAAAAAAATAAGCAAGATAGGTTCAACAGTCACTCTAAACTGACTGAAAGGCTCATCGACAAACCGAAATCAATTTGAGGCAGTTCAAAAAACATTCACCTGGATTTTCCGTGACATTTACTCTACCGCATTGTTGACATACCGAAGTACACACTTAATCGACACACTGTTGAGAAAACGCACTAAACAGCTGACAAATAGAGCGGTTCTCGAGTTTTTCTCAAAATCTCTTGAGATGTTCTGCTTGGCGCTGATCTGTCCTCTATGTCAGAAAAAGCGCTCGTAAAACCGCAGCACGACAGATCTGTGTAAAGACGGCGGTGAGATTATATACAAAAAGATTTCCAAATTTTACGGCTACACCCCAAAGATCTGACCTCCTTACGCACTGATACGTTATCAATGCGCTCCGACGAAGAGATCACTACATCAGTCGACATGTGTGTTTGTTCCACTTGACCGAAATAAAAACAACATCATACCCTTGTTCAAATTAAATCTGGATTTATGAATTCGTCCGCAGCAGTTTTCGAAGTAGCAGATAACGAGTGTAAAAACGTTTAGCAGATGTTCTTCTTCATATGATTTACAAAAAGGAGGTAAAGAAGACTGCGGTGCTTCTTATATGCTTCCGAAGAAAGAAACCAAAGCTTTTTGGCAACAAACGTAGTCGGATTTTTTAATTAATTACAATGGAGCGAATTTAGAACCAAAGACGTTTTTGCATCTTTGTCGCCCGCAAAACTTTGTCGAACTACACAAAGTATCGGCAAAAAAGGCCATCGGTTCGGGTCATTTTTCGGAAAGTGCTATTACATCAACTGCTTGTTGTTCTTACACTGACAGGATCTTAATGCGAATATCTCCATAATGTTGTTACTTAGGTTTTGGTTTGGTTTTTGACTGACTTCAGCCCAGCTCCAGTAATGGGCAATAAAATTAAAATCCAGATCAAATTGATTTTTTCACACACAGACCGACGGTACCCAAACAGCCAATAACCTCCAGCCAAAGTGCCGATAAAAATGCACATCAAGCGCTCAAATCCCAATCACCCGTATTCACTGCCACTTACCATTGATACGGTATGAACATGGCGCTTTCAATGAACGTCGATCCACTGAGCAGGATATACCAGCACTGGCAAACATCCCCGCGGCTACACCAGAGCAAAAGAAAAAAACCATCGCTTGATACACAAAAAAACCGGCACTGCTCATCTGCTCCTCTTAATCGTTCCATTGAAAACCCATTTAACTGATAAACATTTAAGTGGGAACCGCTCACTTACCGATACAGGACTTCATCGGCCTCGTGACATTCGTAGCGTGCCACCCGGCACAACGTCCGCACGGCATTATCCCGCAGTGTGTTCAGGCAGCGAAGTGACCGTAGTAAGTAGAATAGCCGATCGATATCCTGTAAAAATATATACAAGAATGGCTTAACATAAAAACACGAAAACAGCCACTTTCCATGACAAAAAAAGGATGTTATCGGGCTTGTTTACGATGCGCGCCAGCCCACGCCGAACCGTTCGTGCGTAAATGCCGGTTGGCTTTACGAGGACTAATTTAAGAGGATACCAGGCTAATTATTTCTCCCTAGAGGTATGTTGGTCATTTCGAGTGGGACGCCGATACAGTACCTACGCGTTTCAGCTGACGTTGCTCGTGTTTGATAATAAAATTTTATGATTGTCGTGCACAATCACAGACATGCTGGCAGCGTGTACTACATTTCGTAGAACGGATGCAGGATTCCCGAGTTTTCCTTTCTTCCATTACCACAAATTAGGGAAGCAAACAAATATCTTTCAACAATTCCGCATAAAATGTAGGTTAACTTTAAACACCATCTACCAAATTCTTTTCAGAGCTGTTTAATATTATTTATGTTGACGAAAATTTTGATACCAGAAAGAACAGTCGTAAAAACCAAACCGGTACACAGTGAGCCACTGTGAGACCCAGTAAACTGAAAAAAGTATCGGAAGTTTTCGCAGTGCATATTTTCGGAAACTCAAAAACGTATCAACGGAGAAGATATCTTTTGAAAAAAGTTAAAAACATAACTGTACAAGCATTTCAATGATGGGCGCATCTTATGCAGATAGGTTTTGCACTTCTGTTGACGAGATAAATAAACCGATGCAAAGCGGTTTCTAAAGCATTAAGATTACGTAGCATTTACAGTAGTTACGAGTATAAATGTTCACGCAGTGCACAGTGTTATTGTCGAAATTTAAGTTCTGCATTTTTCCGCAAGGTGCCTTCTCAAATGATAAAACAAACAGCTGTCCAAATAAAAACCCAATAGCAACCGTTCAGAAAACATATTTCAAAAAATAAAAACCAAAATTTCAAACTCAATTTTATTACAGAACACGGTGCAGTTAGCTTTGATTGCAACAGGCCGTTAAATTTCAACACCCTTTTCTGGAGCGGAAAATGCATTACATACTCCAACCGGCAAATTCAACAAACCAACCACTAACCTCTTCACCCCGTAGCTGCGGATCTTTGTACAGAGCCGGCAAACCGATTTGCAGTGCGCTGTCCATTCCGGTTGTTCAGCGGTTGTCCCGTTTTCGGCAACTATCCCGACTCAGCTTCACCCAAGTGGAATTACTACACTCCACAAACGTTCCAGCGTAACTGATCTTGACTTTTGTAGTTTTCTTACTCCTTATAGTGCTAAGACTTACATCCGTTAACCGACTTCCATACACTCACACACCAAACAAATCGACGCCAGTATGGCCAGTCAGTTGTACGAACAGTGCAGCACAGACACGGCGAAACTGGATCCAGTCAAGGAGACGGAAATGACGGGGAAGTGGCAGTATCTTCCCACTGACTCAAGACATTGCCGAGCGTCTACTGCTAACTAAGCCGTGCTGGGGATCGTGCCCTGTCAAAGGATGCCGGTTGGGGGATATGGATAAATGACTGGGGATGATGATGCGGCTGGGAGAGAAGAGAGGAGATTCCGGCTCATTCCGAAAGGGCCAGAGGTCTGCCTGCTAGGCGAGTTGGAGACGCGCATCCGGCCAGATCTTCACCCCAATCTGATTCCTGCCGCATTGCCAGCCAGTGGAATAATGGTAATTTAACGACGTTACTGACCTATATGAATGGCAAATCATTGAAATGATATCCATATTCGCATAACTAACACAATCAATTACTTGATGGTGTAGTGCAATATACTAATCAATGCACTTTCAATCAATAATAATAACGATTAGCATTTCATACAATTGCCCAGAATTACATATCGAAGAGTGTCTCCTAATAATTTCCTCAGTCGGCTGTCTTTCCTACGGATAATACATACAGCCAGACATTTCCTGGACAACATGCAAATAACCGTTCAAGGACTCATCACGGGAAGTGTTACGAACGCACGACCAACTGCTATACATCAAATGTTAAGGGCATGCACACCTACACCTATTTGTCGCTTTCGAACCTTACAGAGGAGGTGGTGATCCAATATTAATAATTCTATGGTTAACTGAAGAGTAACATATGTAAAAAATAAGAATAACCGTGTGCCTTATGCGCCGCCAGTTAACCACGAGTACCATTCGCCACTACGAGTATGTTTAATACACTTCGTGATGCAAAAAAAAACACGCACGCCCCTAGATACAAACTGCAACAATTCAAGTAGTTCACAATGATAGGGTAAATGTATCGGTTTTCAATAAAATACACATGTACTTCAATAGTTCTTATTGAAAATAATGATTTTCTCCCCAGAAAATCGAGATAACATATGCGCGACGAAGCAGAATGTTTAACTCTGAAAAAAACTACAATAAAACTTTTAGCAATATAAGTTAATTATGCCGACTTTCAGTCTTTACAGTCCTGGACAAATGGCAGGGACAGCATCCGAAAAAAATATGTTCTCACTTCTCGATCTTAGTAGCCGTGCAGCAGTACACCTATAATGTTGCAAAAAAATGTCCATACTCATGTTGAGCAAGAGTACATATACGTGATAACTGTGACTTTAAACTGCACAATTAGTCTAATTTCTGTTTATGTCAAGCGTTTATAAATAACATCCACTTGAACCTTATGAAACCTGCGAAATATAATGGTAAAAAATATCAGTGCCTGGTCACATCGAGGTTATACCCACATATCATAGTCTACCAATAAAACGTGCAACCGGTAACTTCAATAAAAGCCTTGCATATTTCAACACAAGCTGCAAGCAAAACAAAAAGCCAAAAATATTCAAATGTTAACAGCACCGGTTACGCGGCCAGTTCCTGCTAATTATCATGCCGCCGTCGGACTGTTAATTTGACAACATAATTTGCACGTGCCTTCAGTTTATTAACAAGTAATTTATTGTTCTTCTACATAAGAGTTAATTATATATCAGCGTTAGTTTGGTTCCACCCATGACTAAGGCAAAATTCTTTTTATGTAATCGAACTAACAATAAACAAAAACAACACTAGAAGCATTTGGTTTACTATTGCACGTCTGATTTTATACTCGAACAATTTGTACTTGACAGCGGAAATTGAACAGTGTAGGCGATGGATACGCTCAAGAAGCTTAGCCGCTCCGATCGGCGCACAGGTAAATATCTAGTTATTAATACATCTTGACGCTCGTGAAATGTGCTATCATGCATGGGAAAGACAAAAGAAATCTCCTTAGTTCCCATACCTCAATTACATATAAAACGGACCACTCCGTCGCGGTAAGCGTAAAATCGCACGTTTCAACCTGTCCATCCGTACTTTTCTGATGTACACCTTAACAACTCTTGCTCTCCGCGGCAGAGTTCGCTTCAGGGTGAATGCGCACGCGATCAGTTGAATACAGAGTCGAGACAAATAGACAAAAACGCGACATGATTTCCTTTTGCTAGCCGCTTTAAATACATAATAATCCTGAATTAGCCGGCCTACGACTGCTATTAGCAGGACAGTTTTACGGTCATAAAATGAATCAACCTATTAAAGCCGCACCTAATTTGCCGTCCTGAACAATACGCGCCCAGCAGGAGTCATCGCATGGCATCCAGTCGAAGGCTCAAAAATTATAGGATGTCACGATGAATCGTGAACTCCTTAATTTATTTAAAATTTCAAAAGCGAAACCGCATGATTACGCATCCTGCGCCTGATTACGATATTACGACATTTTCGCGAGAGTTCTCTAGAACAAAGAGCTACAATAAATACTGGTCACTCTCACTGACACTACATACCATGGTTGGTTGGTACTGAAACAAAATTAAATAATACTACCGTTTTCAAACAAACGTACAGATGCATGCCAGTTTTTTCACTGTCATTTATCCCGGGAATTCTTCGCTTTTGATGATAAAGTTTTCAGTTTGCTGTTCAGCAGGATTGATTTTTCTAAAAATACAACACAAAAGAATCTCCTTCTTTCCATCTGTACAAAAATTAAATTTCCTTCCAGTTAACTCTTTATAAATCATTTTGCACCAATCGTCGTTTAAGTTTTACTGCACAAGAAAAACACGTTCAGTGTGTGAGCGCATACTGATGAAACGGTGTATTTAAGCAGAATACATAAGGTTAAATGCCTATTACTCAAACACGTCATATAAATTCAAGTCATAAATTTATAGCTTTTTACAGTTTTACTTTCAAAAAAATTGTGAGATAGTCTCGCTCCGCGAAAATTTCCGCTGGCTGCCACAATCGTGATTAATTCACAGTGTGTGACACTCAAAAGTTTACACAGTTACCTAGAGCAGTCAGTAGTGTAACAGAAGTCCAGGCTCCCACAAAGCGGAAATTACTTGCAACATTCACACGCTAGCCGACGCACTACTTCTGCAAACCGGAAGCTGCAAACTTTACTTGCAATCCCAAGATCACCTTACTATGTTTTCAATCGTACAGTCGTGCTCACAATATTACAGCGAAGCATTCCGACCGAGTACTGTAACGCAAAATAATTACCCCAAAATTTAAAAAACTGTTATGATCAGTGGTTGTATGAATTGTATCCATTGTGGATTTTCTATTGCGAAAATGGCTGTTAAGTATAATATGGCATTTGCATTTCCTGCTTTTTACGCGGCATTACTTAAAAATTAGGTTTCCGGTGCAGTATGCCTTCTCTCTGCAAAAACGTGATTGCGGACGCATGCACAAACAACACGTGCCAATTTCCGGCCACAGGGAAGCCTGCCCTGTGATAAGCACATACCGCAAGTGGAAAATTAATCCCCCGTACCGCTTACAGCATACTTCAATAAACAAGCGTGAAAGGTGTGTTTACCAGCTTTTCATCACCGTATCAGAATCAAGTGAATGTGCAACACACTACAACCCATGCAGGCACGCCTTCCTCCATGATTAAACGCACAGGCGTCCACACATTCAAATATTCAATTTCCCCAACACTTACCAGCGTAATAAAATTTTGGTTATAAAATTATTGTTATTATCACACTTCTGCGACCACCACCAGGAAAGATTACATTCTTGTCATGCAGAATCAGGAGATAAAATCTGATCGAGCAATACTGGGAAGCAGGTGTCTCAGATAGTATACAGTACTAAAACTATAAACTGAGCAACTATACACCTGTATATCATTATTCCTCCATCAAATTACACTTGCAAATAACGATAAGTATTAGATTTCGCACACCTCTAACCTGCCTGTCAGCACATGTGACAACAACAACGGCAACGCTCCCGAATCGAAAATGCATTAGCATAGGAAATTTTGCACACGTACTGGAAAAATCTCCTCTCGCGATTTCGATCAGGAAACAAGAATTTCCGTTACGAATATCACGTATATCGTCGTCCGGCGAATGTCCACTAACAAGCTTGTGTCAGTAGAGATGTTGATGATAATCCCAGGTAAACAGATCCGCAACGCGTAAGCGAAAGATGATCAAATTTAACAATTGATCAAATTTCCAAGCAGACATTTGCCCACGATGATATCACGGTAGGTCAGCGATCCAGTTCTGCGGTGGCATCGATATTTATCGTGGTGCAATATCAAGGTTAACCATGTGTTAAGAGCCTGTAGGCCATTTTAAAATTTTTGATTGACTGCGTCAAGAGATCTTTCCGATGCTGCTCTCGTCTTGCGTACACCTGTGTAGTGTGTGAATCGACGTGCGGCTGATGGTCAGCTTTAAATGTACAGCTAAAAACCAGTCCTATGTTATTGTGTTAACCTGGATCGTCTGTGCGTTTGGATTGGCTGCCGGCCGATCGATGAGTGATTCGACCACGCCTTGTGTAATGCAATGCGTAATAGGGTAATACGTCTGTTTCCGCCTGTACAGTATGGCAGCTGCCATGACTCAATACTTTATTGTGCTATTATTAAATTTTATTATCAGTTAAATCTCGTTACTCCAATTAAATAATCATTTAGAAATGACATAATCTTTGAGTAAGGCTTACAACTAGTAAATCATCGTAGGCGTGGCACTGTTTTGCCGACATTGGGGATCAATTCGACAAGGAGAATCACAAAACTTCATGATTTCTGAATTTGACAAACACCGAAGAATCTCGAGGCGGTGGGTGCGTACGCTGCGCTGAATTACGGGTAGTAGTTTTTCCAGTTGATTTATTAACAACAAAGACTGACAATTTTTACACGATCACTTTAAGAGATGATTGAATAATTTGAATTAATCGCACTTTTCTACGCCAATAGCAAACTAAAATCTGAATAATTAATAAGCAGATGAAAACAGGCAGTATCGTTAAAACTAATGTGCCGGTGGCCCGGTGCTATTCCTTCGCCATAAATATGATTATCGGTGTAACGGTTATTACATATTTACATGTACAGTTAAGTAGGTGTGGGTGCGGTCATGCGCGACCATAGCCGGCATTGTAGTAGTCGTTCGAATCGACAAACAAGCTGGCTGCCGGATGTAAGCCGTGTCCCACTCGGATTTCATGATAGGGCAGCAGATTTCCCAATGACCAGTAGGGATAGATGTGTGATGCTTCCGGTAGCATTTCCGCGAAACCATACGGCTTATATGGCAGCTGGAGCACCTGCTGTTGTTGCTGCTGTTGGTCGATGGTGTTGTGGTGCAGCTGTTGGTTAACGAGCAGCGGGTTTTCCGTGACAACGGACAAAGAATTGGATGCTGCCGATTGTACTACAACACTGGGAATACTGGCGGCTTTGGCGGGAAGTGATGGTGAAGGGGGACTCTCCGCCGCGGCGACCGGTGGTGCCATGTTATTGACACTGGGAAAGAAGTTCATAACGCTGTTGCTGTTGCGCGGCCGGATGAAACACGAGCACGCTACCGGTATCCTGTAAACATGCCACAATATCATTTAAAAGTGCGATTACACCTTAAAACGTGGTACTGCTCACTCTTCAAAATGGCTCACCTGTAAGCGTGTAATTTCCTAGAGTTTGTTAATTTGTAAACGTATTGCGTGACGTTTGTAAATAAAGTGCGCAACAGTTATATCAATTTATTTGTGTTAATAGTGTAGTACAAAATGTATGTGGTGTGACCGCGCATACTCTTAGGAATCAATGGCATATGTACGGTGAAACAATTGTTTTTAATCTTTTGCGCTTTCATTGCTAAAGATGCGCGTATTTTAAAAACTGATTCCAGAGTTGTACCGCGCGGGAGCGCGACTATTTCTCAAGAAATGATATCGTGGGAAATGCCTTGCTGCATGCGTAACTTGCAGTCTGCAACAAGGCCGCAGAGCGCTTCGCCTGAATTTCGTCATATTTACGTACCTTGAAAAAAGCGCACACTGAAAACTTTCCCAATTAGACAAAATAGCTGCGGCCGTTATTCACTAGAATTATTACCATTATGATTTTTCACGCTCATCTGGTTTGTGTTATGAGAATCTTGTAAAGTCAACCAAAGGTTTTGTTATAGCATAGCATATTTACCTGTAATGTTGCACCTGCACGCTGAAAGTACAGGGTCCATAATCTTGTTTTTGCTAATAAAGAGTGTTGTATTTCTTATTTAAAAATTAATTTAATTCTATTCTTTATACTGTAGATGTGAAACTGATCATGAGGGACAGTTAACTGATTACATATGCATCAATATGTATGTTCCAGCATAATTGAGCCTTGGAAGTGTTTCGCTACTTTAGAATTTATATAACTCAAGTTATATTTATTTCTTTTACAATTACTTAAGTTTTGCATTGCAACAGAAATGCTTCGAATAATCACCTGAAAATATCCATTTCAAATCCGTTGTACTTGTCCCAGACAAGCATTCGCTGAAAATTCCACCTATAAATTAATCATTTACACTGTCTCAAATATTGAACACCATAATCCAAATTAAATCATCCAAAAACTGTGAGTTATCTTACTTTTGGACACACGCGCTATTTAATTTTGGCGATAAGTACTGACACCGCTGCAGCGGCCTCGTGCATTCTTCCATCCGGGAGGTTTGCGTGTAACCGGGAATATTTACCACAATCCTCCATTGCCCTCGGTGGTTTTTGGCGCGTAATATACGAGCATAATGTATTACTGACGCGCATACGTATCCGCGACCGTTTGTCGACTCCGCGGTTGCTTGGGTGTGTGTCGTCTGTGTGCGAGTTCGGAGACTGTCGAAGGACGATGTCGCGTCGGCCACATATCCCATATTTGATGACCAAGAATTTGCAGCACTGTATTAAGTATTAACCCATTACATTCATATATATATGCATTGTTAAGCATGGCAAAAATTTGTACATTGCAACTTCTGTCAGCCTTGCATATTACCTAATGGGATGGATCTGAGAAAACACGTTGCAGTATTTTTCTTCTTCGGTCCGCGTCAGCCCATCGCAAAGGTTATCCGCACTTTGAAAGGCTACTTCAGCGTATAATTTGGCGAAATCAACTTGGTGGTGGGTAATGGCGTCTTTAATGGAATCTCTAGTATTACAAAACTTTAATTTATTATACAGATAGTGTGCCGACTATATAAAGACAACTCCGCAGACAAAAGTACAATCTTTTCCAGAAAAGCAAGTGTACTTGTACACCAACAGGTGGACGACATAAGTCACACACAGATTGGAACCAGCTATATAATATGATTTCTTAATTCGCTAGTAACGTATACGTTACTAGCGAATTAAAACAAAATGACCGTATTAAAACAATGAAGTATTAAGTTCGTATGCCAAAATGACGTATCTTTACTGTCTCATGTGCAGTATTTATACCTACCGCAGTTATATGATATCCATGTCTTTATAGTTTGTTTGAAAGATACTTTTTTGAACGCTCTCGCCACTTGCTAGCTAAAACGTTCCAAATCGCAACACGATTCCCTTGCATAGGGTCTGTGGGAACGAAGCCCCCATTCATCCAAACAACAGCAAAACATATTTATATCTTTGTATCTACGTATCTTGGAACTGGCTATACTACCTATACTACCTGTAATTATTATGTTTTAGTATACGTAAATTCATTATTTAAATAAAGCAAGCTTCTTCCTACGTTGGATAGAAGGGGTCATCCAGACAAATAGTCTGCAGTTGGCTGCGCACGCATGCCGGTGTATACGAAGTGCCGGTATTCAGTCCATAAATGGTATCGAACTTCTTATTGGAATTGGTCGAATCAACAGAAGCCCGCTCATTCGTTTCCGACGGAGCGACATCGTAATCATTCATAATGTTATTCCCATAATTGCCGAACCCGGCGAACATCAAGTGATTTTTGCGATTCTGACTGGCCGATTTCGATGTCTTATAGCTGGATTCCAGTTTCAAATTAGCAAACGGTTCGGGCTTGAAATTCGTACTGGGATTCAGTGGGCCAAAACCGGAGGCGTACGGTGGTTGTACAGGCTGTTGGCCACCTGGATAACTGAAATAATTATGCTGATACCCCATAAACAACATATTCGACGGTGTTGGTCGCACGGCTGACCACACAGTCGGTTGACTGTGGTTTTTTCCAGCGGCTGTCTGATTATTCTGGAAAAAGATGGCGTGATCGGTTGTGCATTTCGCCAGCGGTAGAATCCCAGTTAAAAATAGTAAAAATGTCACAATTGCGGAGATACATGTTTGGTGCAATAGTTGTCCGTCTGACAAGATAGCGGTAAATTTTGACCAATCCATGTGATCACAATATTGCGCTGCTGTAGCGGTAAATATCCCCGTAAGTAACTCTTCATAGCCGGCATCCGGCAGTAAAGTATTTGGACGGCTACTCTAAATGGCATTGATCCTTGGAAATGGCGACATTACATAGGCGGTTAATAAGATTACAATTTATCCAATGCGCCGGTAAATGACTAAAGCGGTTTCAAAGGAAAACCTTTTGGTGTTTAATTTAGATTTAGTACACACAGCTTAACTGAACTACCATATTATTGTGCGGTATAATGGCTACACCTTAATCCTTTTTGTGAATGTTGCAAAGTGGCCTTTCAGCATTGTTACCATTTACAATGCAATACTACTCTATGGTACTCGTATAGCACTGCTATAGTAATTGTTAATTGTTGCAGTGGAATAAACCATCAGCATGCGTACTGGAACAATTTCAGGCTCCATCATGATCACGTTTTGCTCCAGTTGTCGTGGCTAGCTGAATTAAAATTTTAAGCGTCTGCTTGTCAGAGTGAATTGTCTTGCAGAAATAAGGAGTTGGACATTTGTAATTTTACAGAGTTAAATCAACACCATTGCGTATTCACCGCATAATTATTGCAAATATTAACTACCTACCTAGTAAGAGCCAAATAATACTGTTACTCAATGTATACATGGAACCGTTATAGGCACACCCTGCTTATTTCAGGCACCTTTTTAATTACAGATCATGCGTAGTAGTAATAGTAATAAGGGTACCTTACTTATGTAAAAAGTGATCTATACACATGAATAGAGACGAAACTAATATTTACCGGAATTTGTACTCTAAAAACGTACAAAGTTTTGTGTTATGTTGCGTATGTCTGCAAAACCTGTGGCTAGTTATTTTGTATGCGTATAAGTACAGTGGAACGCTGATTATAAGGGGCCAAGATCAGCGTAAAGTTTCCTTGTTTTGGCCAGAGCCAATGGCAACATATCGCGTGGTCGGCTGTTTTGCAGAATATGCCAATATAACTTTGTAAGAAAGATGAACTATTTTAAAATTTGCTAAGAGCTTAACAGATCTGGATCGCATTATACGCCAGGCGAGATATGAATGATGCCGAGCGGATCCGCGCCGGCGTGATGGCTTCCCAACATGTGTGCTGAATGTTTATTATGTCGGGCCAGTTACAAACTCGATGTGTTCAACGTGTACTTACAGTACTGTCGCTGCTGTACGCAAGCCAAGATTCTGGCGATGGTGGATCTAACTTTAGCTGGAATAAGAAATATTTCACTGTAACGGATCTCGCGCTAGCTGATTCGGAGGATTATTACACTTTCAACTCTGGTCAGTCATGACGAATTCATTTCTTAAGTAATGCCGGTTGCAATTGTAGAGTTAAACTAGAACACAAGCGCAGACGCTGTTGTACTGGTTAAATCAACCGGTTTCAATCTAATCTGGGAGCTTTATACCGACAAACTAACCCATGGTCATTTGTGTTATCAGAGGGTTTTAAATTGGATCAGACGGGGTGCTGGGCGGAAAATCGCTGTACATCGACGGATTGATACTGTCCAAGTGGACAAAATATCCTTAATTGCAGTATTGGAGGAATTAGGCGGATAATTTGGTGAGTAATTGGTAACTGCGAAACGTTGGTGATTCGTGGTTTCATTGTTTCCGTCTGACGATAAACAATTTTAAGTATCTAAATAACAATAAAACCATTTATGTATATATATTTTATTTATTACCTAATATTTAAATTTCACTGTACTGTAATCAAATCTATAAAGCAGCAATATAAACTTTGAAAAAAAATTACATAGCTGCAATGGATTCAACAAAAAGCTTGTCTGTCTATGAACATCATGTGTTTCGAGAAATTGGCTTTGCATAATTGTACGCATATAATTGCATATACGTAATTTACAAAATAATGTAAAATAAATTTATATAGTATGCCGGCTGATGGTATTTCCAAAAAGAGTAGATGCAGTACCCATAACATTCTTTCGTATTGTATACAATATCGCCGGCTTTTCTGTTGTTCTACAGTTTCTGGTCCTGAAATTTTAATTCTTAAAAACCTAATTATGTGCTGTAAACATAGAGCTGTCAAATCCTCTTTACAGTACACCAATGACCAGTTGCGTAGACAAATTTATTGTTTTTGGATGTGGTACTCTAGTTTATTTAAAATTGTAACTGTATACTGTACTACTGTTTACGCAAATGTAATCGGAAATTCTGTGTTGTTGCAGATCACAAAGTGTCAAGATGTGGAGATTTGTTCTTCATTTATTGGTCGTCAGTTTTTGCCTGCTCGGAACAACTGCTTCGCAGGTATCAGGCTTACATTTTTCTTGAAACCCCAGACTACGAAATAGAATTCCCAAAACCTCGATTCGTTTTTTCACGCATGAAATATTCAACAGCTCTTGGCATGTCTAACACTTAGCGGCTACATGTGAATCGACAACTTAAGAAACATGATGACTTTCACCCAAATTTAGCTCTCCCTGAAAAGCTAACTCGTGACTTATCGCAAAACAAATTTAAAACTTGGTTTTGGTGTGAATGTCCGGCCCCAGCAAAAAATTAATTTTAGGACAGCGGAGTATGCAGACGTTAATTTCAGCCGGGTGTGATGATGTCTAGAGTTGTATTAATGAGAATAACAACTAAATTAAGCGATGAAAAATCTGTGCTAATGAGTGTAAGGACGCGACCTTTACTTATTTATGGTTATCTGGCCTTCAGAGTTCAGACTTCCAGAGCAGCATTTAAATGTTGTACTGTTGTGTATATTCCCAAAAAGGACAAGTCTGGTTGCGCCGTACTGATTGCGCAAGCGATTTTACTGTGTGCCGGTACACAGTCATTAATACTAATTTGTACTGTACATAACTCACAGTTTATATATGCATTGTACAAAGTACATCAAGTATAATGAATGACTGCGCCGTTATTTTTTTGTAAAACTTTTTATAATAGACAGACACATAAACACTCTTTAACTATATTTGCTAAAATCAAGTAATTATTTTCTCAGGGCAGGTAATTCGAAAGCTTCTTGACGGCTGTTGAATAAATTTTGACCTTATATTACTTTGGCGCTCTATCAGATCAAGTGACCTATTACCCGAAAAGGCTTTAATTTAGTGGTTATAGAATGTTTTCATTTTTCAAATTTAATGTAAGAAGTGAATTATTTTTTATTTTAGAAGTCCAAAAAAGGACCGCACCATCGGCAAGTCCCTGTGGATGCCGGTACGATGTCAAACGGCATTCCGGATGCGGATCCGATAATCGCCGAACGTGTCGTAGCGAAGAAAAATCCCAACACGGGTGAAATTGAGCTAAATGAGGAGAAGATGTTGTTGAATGTTGATGATCCCGGCGAGAATACCGGCGCTACGGCAGCTCAAGAAGATGACGAAGTGGACGATAGTATGAAATCCGACGGATCCAGTAGAACAAGTGGGTCATTATTAGTGTCCTGAACTACTTTTCTAAGCAATACATGCGGTTTTTTTTGCTACAACGAAGATGCATGATATAAAGATGAGAGGCCAAGCGCCCATGTTGCATAATATTAAATTTTTACTTTTGCACTCGCATCTACAGATCCTTGCGCCAACTTTCCATGCGAAGAGGGTTTGGAATGCGAGCTGAATGAAGACGAACAACCAATGTGTGTCTGCTCCAAAATGTGTCCTAATAATTCACCCATCAAAGTATGTGAATTATGTGTTCCAAAAAATGGCATTGCAAAAATTTTACTGTACTTTATTTAAATGGTATTCTGAGTGCTAAGCAAAACTTCTGCCCATTGCAAAATATCCTTTAGTAACGAAACTTTTAATAATTTAGTTAACCGAGTAATTTACCGTATGCAAATGAGACATCAGTTTAATTTTGCGGTTTCTGGAATACTATGTTTGATTGTTCCAAAATATTATTGTTTCTTTTCGAGCGTGCACTTATGTCAACATCGAATACTGAACGGCTTTGAACTGTTGCTTTCTAACGGTGTGTGTTTGTGGTGTTAGGTTTGTTCTAGCTTCAATCAAACATTTGACAGTGAATGTCACTTGTACAAACAACGCTGTTTGTGCCAACGTGGTTTACCGGGATGTGACGATCCCAAAAACAAGGACATGCAGCTGGAATATTTGAACGAATGCCGCGGTAAAATAATTTTTTGACATTTTGCTATACAGAAATTATCCGGCTCTTCTAATCCTCATTACTGTAATTAATTAAGTGCAACTTTTTAAAAACCACATTCATATATGCCGTCACTCTGTTATGAATTTTTGCCGGTCAGATATGCCGCACAAACGGTTGCTGAACGTAGCTTAATCCGACCTGATGATATTTGCTTATGAGTTATTTGTTCAGAGTTGGCATTATGCACGCCGGACGATATGGCCGATTTCCCGCGGCGGATGGGAGACTGGCTATTCCAGATTATGAAAGAATTGGCTAAGCGCAATGAACTGGCACCGCAGTATCGCAAGTACGAAAAGCGATCGGAAAAGAAATACCAGCCTGGTCAGCCGCTGCCGCATCCCATTCTGTGGAAGTTCTGCGATCTCGACAAACTGCCCAGTGATCGGTAAGCAGCAGCATTTGACGGTTTTACCAGTAAAGTTGTGCTGATACAAATTATAAAGGAAATCAGTACCATTCTGAAAGAAAACACCATCTTCAGCGCTAAACCTTCAGCACAAATTGTTTCCATTATTCTTTGCTGCCAAATCTACAAAAAAAACTTTGTGCAGACTGTGATTTTTATATCAGTACTAGTACAGGTGCGCATATTGATGGTAAGTAAATTATTGATACTTCGATATGCATAATATACGCATTCGTAAACTCCATATTCATAAAATTATACGAGTATAAATCATTGCTGTCGATATATCAAAATTTAATGAAACGTACTCTGCAGTTATGAAGGCAAATTTTGCGGTGCAACGAAGTACTGTTAGATAAATATTCAACATACTTCTTGCGTATATTGAATGCCTGAACATATAACTGAAGCTTGCGATCTGGTAAACCGAGAAATTCGGTATGATGCAAATATGGATTTCCATTCAAGAGTCATCAATCAGCTGCAACGCCGACACAAAATTAGCAGGAGCGCCATTAGTTATTGCGCGATAGTATCGATATCGCAACCAAAAAATCTTCTACACTTTATATTTATCTGTCGCCAAGGCATTTGAATGTCTTGTGTCCAAAGAGTTTTGACAAGGAAACGCATTAGTAGTGAATCGAATTTCCCGATACAGTGTATCATATTTAAAGGTCATCGAAATCTGAGCGGAGTAATCCACCGTAAAGGAAAAATTATGCGTCAGTTGTGCCGGTCCTTATTTTTTTCTCATACCGAAAAGTATTTCATTAAGACAAATATGAAATCTGGTTCGGGCGCTGATTTCAAAGCCTAGAGTAGCTTTCGTCTTGTTTAGGGATCGCATCCATAATATTTTGTTATTATGCAGACATTCTGTCATCTCGCTAACTAGCAAGATCAACGAACTGAACGACGCACAAATGTACTGCAGAAAGAAGAGATGGAAAATAATCACGGCTTGCCAGCTGTCGGGGCTGTGCACAATATGTTACGTAAAATTAAGGAACAGTATTTTTGCATTTGACTCGAGGACGTTTAAAATGTGCCGGACAAAAAGGGGTTGAGAAATGCAGTGACTCGCGCGTTCGCGTAAAAAATTCCCCAGGATTGAAAAATTTTGCATCTAGTGGTATCAATGTACGGCGTTGTCAAAACAAACCCATAAGAGAGAAAGCATCATAATTTTGACTGAAAGAGAATAGTAGCGCTGTAATATTAGGCTTGACATATACAGCCCATACATGCTAATTGGCAGCGCCGTGTTGTTTATTACAACAGATATATTTCACGCAAAGAACTCATGCCAATCCGGGCACCGCTCATTCCGATGGAGCACTGCATTGCACCATTTTTGGATGACTGCGACACGGACAACGATCACAAATTAACTCTGGCTGAATGGGGAAGATGTCTCAAGTTGGCTGAATGTAAGCGGATCATTTACATATGCAGCGCGTAATGCACGTAATAGCTTTTCTGTACTAGATGTGCCACTGTATGCGCTAGTTGCTTAACTTGCTTTTAAAATGCGCTTTCATAGAAATACAGAAAATTACCCGTGCCCCGCGTAACATTTAATAGGATAATTGAGTTATTTTATGTTCCATACAACGCACAATTATAACTTTTGAACTGAACATAAGGGAATGGTATTGTATGTGAAATTGCGAACCCATTCACGCGTAACGTAAAGTTTAATGATTCTAACGATGGTTCGTAACCTAATTACGGACATACAGAAAAGGTTATGAATTCACGTCAACTTATGTTTTGTAACCGGCGTTTTTCAAAAATTATGGTTTCACTACCTTGCGATCGTTTCTTTATCCTTGGTTAGTGAAGTGCTGGTTTACGCATTTGCAGTGTGTTTTGGCAGTCTTGTACGTTTTACTGTAACGTGCGCTATGCATACTCTGTATAACGTAATTTTGGCGGAATATTTGTAAAACTGCTAAAATAAAACCACTATAATTTTTTAGCCGAAGTCGAAGATATCTGCTCTCAAGCCATGCAGCTATCGCAGAAGAAACCACGATCGGCTGATCCCAATGCCCCATCATCCAACGACGACGAATTCGATGAATAAACTTCCCGGACAGAAAAAAATAAAACTTGCCTTGTCTTTTGGAACTGCCATTTTTTTATTACCATTTCTTCTGGGCTGATTTGTTGAACATTTGTAGGTATCGCCCTACTCCCTTGTATTAGCATCATTGAATGATTTTGTTTTTTGCAACTCCGATACAAGTTGAATACAACTAACGCGAAATCCCATATAGAAGAGCTGTTAGCTAGTCATCTTTTCTGTTGCCCATGTGTTGTCCGTTTGCAGTAGTTCTAACCACGGAACGTTTTACCTATTTCGGAACTCTTTTATCTCTTGGCTTCTGATTTAAAATTGTGGCAATAACAGCGATTGTTGATACAAATGAAATAATAAGCAAATACACTACAACCCAATACTCCCCATTTAATCAGGCGACTGTTTTGTCTCAATCCATACATACAAATAATTCCGTATGGACATGTAAAATATACGGGGAACAACCCGTTTCCTCTGCATAACAATAACGTTAAATTAAAAACCTCGGCATTGCACAGCAGTTCTGCATTGAATAAATAGAATGTACAATTAATTTCTCACAAAATAATACTAGCACATTTTTTAAATAGAATACCACCCTGTCATATCGCATGTCAGAAAAAGGACGTCTAACAGGAGATTCACTGTGTAACGCCGAGTGTAACGCTCAGACTGCCGTCTGAGAGGCTCGAGACCAGCTGGGTGGTATGAATGTCATCCAGCATCTGTCCGTGAATCTATCCCGCACCACAAGCATGAATGGATCATTTTTGGAAAAAGGCTTCTTTCAGTCGTCATCTTCATCCTCAGAGTACGATTCGTATTCCGCCGTGCCTTCGTCATGATCGCTGTCTTCCACATACTGAGAATTGGGACAATTGTCGACATTCGCGGCTACATCGCATCGTTTAAAAATCAGCTGCATCTGTGGGAAAAATTGTATGCTAAATAGGACTCAGTAACAAGCACTACCAAAATAAAATACAACCATTTAGCGAAATATGTGTCAATGAAACATAATTAACGATCATGAGTTTATAATTAATACACGTTCGCGATTTACCACAAAATCATTTGGCAACACTTTGGAATTCTTGTCTTTGTTGGCCGGATCAACGTCAACTTTGCGCAGTGTCAGCACAATATGTTGGTCCTTGTCTTCATGCAGGGACGGCAGTCCTTCCGTCGACTGTCCACTGCGTTCGGACGACATGCTGGACCGGGAGGACGAGTATAAACTCATGTTGGCTAATAAATTATTTACAGCACTTTCCATTTCAGCATTTTCCTCTTCGGTTAATCTCGAGTCATCCAAGGAAATTGTTTGACCAACAAAAAATGTATTAAAACAAAAATGGAACAAGGCTTCCTGAAAATAAATACAACTGCTGTGAATTAATTTCCCGCAGGAGTTTAAATGTGAGCCAATACTGCATGCAGAATGGCAGTTCTGCGAACGATTCCTCGTAACTAACCTTTTTGGAAGTAATTTTGGGATTGTTAAATAAATGCTTGAGGGAAAAACATTGGAGTTTGATATCACCCGTAAGAACAAGAGGAGGAAGGAGATCAAATCGTTGAGGGACAGCGGACTGTTCACCTGAGCTACTGCGCCTGAGTTCATAAACAGGAGAATTCCATATCTTGCTTTTGGACTGCGATATGGAGAAGCATATTCCACCGCTAACATTGGGCAGTATGGAAAATACGATGCACACCAAATGCAGCACAACCGGTTCGTATTTCAGGTTATTCCGAAGCATGTGATCATAGTAATACACATAACGTCTTTGGCTTGGAATAGTCACACCCTAATAGATGTAAAACAAATTAACTCCATTGTATCGAAAATATAAAAAGCACGTCACTTCAACTGCATAATACTCTAAACATTTAGCCAAGCAGCCTCAGAAATCATTCTACGGTCAATCGAACTAATGGATAATGCTGCAGGTCTGTGCGTTTAAAATTCAAAAAAGCAGGCTGATATCCGGAACTCCTATAATCGTATAATTTTGTCTATATGCTGGTAGGCTAACAGCTAATTTCGTCAGTACATAGCTAAACCAAGCTTTAACGATTAACGTTCCAATTTCTACCGTTAATACAGGATTTATTTACGATCCCAAACTAAAGCAGTTTTCCTAAGGCATACACCTTACTTTCTGATTTTTTGTGCGCTGAGCTCCATAAAAATCCAGGGCTTCCGATGCTGATTGTTTCAGGCCCCGATGCAGCAGGTACGCACAGATCATCACACCCGTTCGACCCTAAAAAATACTGACATAAATCTATGTCCTATGTTAACAGCAGATCCTACAAGGGCGAAGAAAAAAGTCTAGAATCCACAACAGCAATTTACGATAACCTTTTTAAAGGCAGCCATAAATTCACAGCATGCGACAAAATTTTCAAACACTAACAGTAAATATTCCAATCCTGTAACAAAAAGATGACCGATAGCAGCTGTTTCAAAAGAATCTGGCACGAGAAGCATGCCGTTTCAAAAATCACTTTACAACTTCCACTTTACTTTTATTCAGAGATATTTTAGTCGATTATATCGATCCAGTTACGTGCATGCTTGCGACTGCCGTAAATTGTCACCTTTGATTAAGATCAGCGAGTACATCTCAAAGATCATATGGCTTCTACGTTACGAGGAAAAATTGCGGGTTTCTATCTTGTCTAATTAACCCAAAGGCCAGCTCGAACGAGACACCCAAAGGGAAAGCACCGCTGGCCACGGTTTTCCTAACGGCACTCTCCCAATGACCTACGCTGACTTTAATGGATGCACGTGCAGCTTGTGAACGACAATCCCCACATTACCATCACTCTACAGCGGAAGCACTACTCTGACGTTTTCCACGCGACTACAATGCGTTAACATTTTTATCGAAATTCCATTATTGTAGTCTAGCGGAGATAATACTACATATTCCACGAGACCGACACTGACAATTTCGATAAAGGCCATTCGCTTCTATTCACAGTTCATCACGTTCGACCCCTGGTTGTCGTGATAGCCGGGACAATTACCATCCAGGTGTCCCCGCGTGCGGTCATGACACAACTCATTCCCCCACATTTTTTCTATTAGTAAGATGCATCCATTTGTACGGCTGCATTATCGACCAACCTTTCCGGCTTTACAATGCACAGCGGCAATATTCTCCACATCCTCCGCCAGCCATTGATCCAAATCTTCACAGAAACTTTTGATCATATCCAGATCAGGCGGATGGTGATCGTCAATGGGATAGACCGCCACGCGATTATGAAATTTGGCCGGATCATAACGCCTTTCCGAGCACCTAAGAGAAATATGTGAAACGCCGATTAATATCGACAATCAAAAACGCATCGATCAAGCAAGACAGTCAAAGGTAATTTGCGCTCCATTCGTAGTTTTTTCCAATAGTAAAAGTATACAAGCAAATTTACCACGTCTTAAAACCAAAAGACCACACTTCCAATAATCAGCACGCATATCTTAATAATTAGCATAGATGCGTTATGCAAATCTATTTAGTTTCTCATTTGATAAAACCTTTCTGTTACACAATCATTAACCAAATAGAGACAAATTAAAACCCAATTTTCACGGTTAGCTTCGGGAGGTTCCGCGTCTGTCGATTAGCAGTTGTGTCGCCCTGCGGCGGAAGCGGTACCCCAGAAAAACGGGCCAACCACGCATATGGTGCGTCAAAGCCCATCTCAAATCTAATCCCCGAGCACACAGGCGACCACGTCAAGGAGCCGCACTGCACAATCAATCCCCCAGGGTAGCGTTACATACATGTCATAAAAAATCCTAACTTACAGATTGTAGATCTTGTAGTGTCCATGGTGCTTTGATTCCAGCAATCTGTGAATTATTCAGGCATATCATCTATTTTCAATTGCCACCCAGTCGCATGCGGCGCGAGTAAAAATTACTGTGACCAAAAGATCATTACCGACAGACAATTACGGGTCTTTTCTTACGTATTACCACCGTGGACTATCACGTGCAACACGCAATATCAACGGTAAATTAACAGGCGGAAAAGAAACAGACAGTTCCTCACCGCAGCACTTCATCTAATGGGTTCCGATAAACGCCCTCCAGCTTCTCCGAAGGAAAGCCCATCGCAATTATATTAGGGCATATATCTGTAAAAAAGAACAACGATCATTTGCTCCCTCGGGTATCAAAATCTAGCTATATGAATCTGCGATTAATGCAACCGCTTCCAACAGGAATGAATAAACCAGTTTACCATATTGTACCGCGGCCCTGACAAAATTCACGCACCAATATGCTGAATTAAAGATGAAAAATTAAATCCGTTCCAATCATTAAGGTGGTAACGAAAATAACGATCTGATCAGCATACGCTTAACGACTATATCCCGCTCAAGGGAAACAAGGGTAATTATCAATGCCTATTTTCCAGTTCATAAAAACGTGCGACAATCGCTTCGAACACCAACATACGGCTCACAATCTGCGCAAATTAACAGTAAATTTGGATGCTAGAAAACTGGTTACGTTCACTTCCACATTATTCACATAATTTAACAATCACAAATTACACTCATTTCAAAACATCGCAACTGCATTATCATTAGTGCAAGCTGCCCAACATTTTATCCTTCCATGTAAGATGATATTTACTTTGTTCACAAGCCTTCTATTTGTTTACAACTTTTTTTTGCCTAATCGCCATCATAAAATTTACAAAAAACTTGAAGATGAAAACAGATATAATTTAAAAGCCAGCAAAAAAATCTGGGTTGATTATGGCTTGCAGGAATAACTCGCCCGGTTAACGGACGTGCACGCTTACATGTTAAATCCAAGTCATAGCCATCCTCGCGGTAGCGTCTCTTGTTCTTGCTGACGAGACCACGGATTTTCGATGTCATGGCGGTCATTCCCGATAGCCAGAGCTTTACATAACACTCGGACAGAATCTGAGGAAACGGCATACGGTTCTGGCGCTGATTACCACACACTCCGTCAACCTTCCAGCTTCAGTAAAAAAAATAATAAATCTCTCCTGCAACGCAGCAAAAAAAAATTAAAATAAAATTCTCTACAGCTTGAAGAAAAGATTCTAACAAAATCCCGAATGCAAACTAACAATTGTAAGCTTTAACAATTTTCGACAAAGACAAAACTGTAATATTCCTAGGAAAATGCCTAGAATGGAGCAAAAGTTTGAAATTATCTCAATCATAAGTGATAACACTGTTGACATGGTGCTCTAATCAAACATTTCAGAAGTGTTCTCTAAATTAAGTAAGTACTAAGATTCTACGAATGCTAGAAACTTGGAAAATTAATAATGCAGATGACACATCCATTTTCTTCGTGCAATGAACAGCATGCTACATTATATCAGCAAAAATTAAGCAAAATTTGATTCTACTATAATTTGAGGCAACGAATTCCAAATCAAATAAAATCTTATTATTCTTATTAAGTACTTATAACCCGAAAATGAAAATCGTTTGATTGTAAATTTAGGCTTTAACTTTTAAGTCATGTTTGATGTTTAGTTTGCAATCTAATATTGTTAAAAACCGAAATCTAAAAATTGTAAGTATCATCCATAATGAATCAAAAGAAAACGATAAAATTTAATGCAGATATAAGTAACAAGTTATTCGAGATTTTCATAATTTCACTTACCTTGGAAAAGGGAAATCACACGCCAATATCTCTGGAGAAACCCTTACTGGTTGCCCGCGGAAAGCTACTGAAGCTAGAGAGGGCTCAACCTGTTAGTTTCTGGCAGGAAAAAAGGTAAACAGTGGCAAATCCATGAAGTATTTTGTCGCTTTTCAGTTTTGGTGTAATTCAAGTGCGGAACCAAGTTCACTTGATTAGCGTACTGTCACTGTGTCACACTACCAAAATCTGTCTTTCTAAAAGTTGGTTCAAAGCCAGCAAACAACGAAAATGATCTATCCCTGAGCGGATGAGCAGTAGTCAATAGAATGATAGGATCAGAGCCAGATGATTCAAAAACACTTTGAGAATCACAGATTGCGGATAATCAGAGATCCACAGATCACTCAGCACTTAAAATTAAAAAGTTAAACTGTTAAATCAATTTAAATGGACTGTGCAAACGAATAGCCAACTCAGAGCATTTTACTGATCGGTATGTGTGTCACAAACTAAGTACTGTACTACGCAGTGCGAAGTAAACCTCGAAGGACTTATCCCAAAACTTCTAAACAGGTAACATTCAGCTGGGGATATCCTAGCCGTACTCCTGGCCACACGGGGAATTTGGGATAAAATATAAAACGATAAATGCATAATTTTCTCGCTACTAACACAACTGCATAAGAAAAGAAAATTGATTGCCGTCACGGGATATTGATGAAATGAATCGAACGTCCATACGACAAAGCGCTGCCTCCTAAGGCGGAAAGTGTGCTCATTGTCAGCGGCACTCAAGACGGTGGGACACTTGGAATACGTCAGTCGTACGGAAGCGGTGTTCCACGAAGCGGTGGAAGTGTTCCGAGTTCCAGCCAGTCCTGGAATGCCAGGCAAACTGGGAATGCACATTTGGATGTTACCGCTGCAGCCAGAAATCCCAATCCCTTACTCACTTTCGTGCACCACTGCACATCACGATGAAATGGGAAGTCGCTTAACGAGACGAAGCTACACGAAGGGGATGACTAGCTAGTTATCTGACACGTAAGGGCCGGAAACACTTAATTGCGTATGTAAGTGACGCCCTTGTGCAACAGTGCCTGCGCAAGTAAAATGGCAAAAATCGCTTCTGAATCTTGTGTTTTTTTTCGAGTCCCGATTTTCGAAAATCATTTCTCGTATTACTGTTTTGACTTTTGATTTATTTATTTAGTTAGGTGCAGTTAGGAAAAACCCGTAGTTGCTGTTGAAATGGATAATATTGTTCAGTGTTTAGCTGGATAGAATAACTTCTTCTTGGATAGAATAATTAGAACCTGCACTTAGTGCACTAGTACTCATTGTCAGCCAAAAACTTTAGGATTTCCGAAATATTGCAGACATCCCTGCAACATGCATACAACTTTGATCCTTATGGGTTTTAAGAAGGGGAAGATTTTCCCCGTGCAGTTCAAAGAACTGTTGCCTTTGAAGCTGAAGAACAGCGTTTCCTTCAAAGGATTACAAGTTGATGCGCGTAAGTTATTGTTTCGTGTTTGGAAGGTTTGCTCGCGCAGTGCTCATGCTGTCAGTGTATATCGGAATGAAATCATATTGTCATTTCGCTGTTATAGCAAGGACATGCCTTCAGCCAATGACGGAAATGTTCGAATGTTTCAAAAAGAATGAATTCAGTCAGACAGCGTGCGCGGCCGAGATCCTTGCGTTCAAAGAATGCAGCATGTTATCCGCGGTAAGCAGTACTAAGCAGTGAAGCACTAATATAGGTAAGCAGCGTCTCATTACAGCGTAAACGTTTCAATGTGATCAATGGTAACTGGGTAAATCGTAAGCATCCTTGTAATCGTCCTAGTCCTCTCGTAAACCTCGTAATTGAGCTTTCGAAGATATCAGATATTAAAGTTTGTGAAAATTACTGTTACTTAGCGCTAATATGTCGGATTAATTGCAGAAAGAAATGGAATTGCAAAAAGTAAACCGGAAAACTAACCAACTGAACCCGAGTTCAGAAAGGCTAACAACTCGCCAGGCGAATGTTCTTCTGGGCAAATTCCCTCAGCACAACGATCCCGCGCCCGATCGCTGGCCCTGAGAAAACAAAATCCAGAGTCTATTTGTTAGTGTTTTTCCTGGTTTTGTATAAAGTTTGAGCGGAATTCTTTTAAATCGCCGGATGTTAATTTGTGCATAGATACCGAAATTTACTGTCCAGTGTCCACTACCTTTTTTGAGTACGACATCGGTGCGCCTTCCAAAATTGTAAAGAAAATTAACAAAAGTTCCTGGAAATTCATAGTGGGATTTACGGATGCCAGATTTACTGCGCTTTGCTATTTCACTTACCACGATACCCAAGGACGGTTACGCTTTCAACAAATCTGGGAACGAAAACGACAACTCTACATACTTATCACAAAAGTCATGACTTCCATTGATAAAACGCTAAAAAGCGCAAACACTGATACACCAAACCAACGAATTTTTTTAACACAAAACTTCACGCAATGTTTCCGGAGCCGCTTAATCTATCGGCCAAAGCGCCGAGGATGCGTAGGTGGGATGCGCTGCCGCTTTGCAACAAGGCATCCTGGAAATCTTCCATATTTATCACGTAGCCGTCGCCATCTCCACCGGCATGCCTGCTGCAATGGAATGCCAGCATTACAAGAAACACAGACACGGTGAAACCTAATGCAGTTAAAAAAACGCTACCAAGAAAACGCTACGCAATCCAAAACTAAAAACTGAAACGTTAAATTAACGAATAGAACGTATCGTTTTGTTTTTTGTAACCTAAAAAGAAAAGCTTTAATCACGGTGGATAAATAAGTAAACGCACAGAGCGAGCGAATAGAATATATTATTAATTTTCATATTTGAAATCCAAAAATGTGAACACTGTAGTTATCAGAGTCAACAAATTAATCGAAGAAGTCAACGTACTGGGTTTGGTTATTCTGCTCTTCCATATCCTCGGAACGATGAAAACAGCGTACAGCTGCTTTTCGGCACAGCTCATGCAAATCGGCACCGGAAAATGTTTCCGTCTGAGCGGCTATCACATTTAACTCAACATCCAGAGCCAACTGAAAGCACCAAATATCAGCACTGTCCACTAGTCATGAAACTGTATCAAATAATATTAGATAGACACAACAGGAAATCCTAGTGACAAAGTATATTCTGCGGTGACAACCAAACGGTAATGTTACGAACTTTTCAGATTACCATACCCGGTGCCACCAGCATCGTAAATCTTGAAGTTTTTCTTAACAGAATACAAACTAACCATACCTGCTCTTTCGCGAGGATTTTCTGCAGTATGAGTGCTCTTTGGCTAATATCCTACGGTGGAAAAGCCAAAAAGAGTAAATAATATGTCATTAATAATCAGGGAATCCTAATTGCTCTGAGTCCTAGGTCTAATCAGTTGTACCGGATATCCAATACAGAATGCGCAAGGCAAACGCCGTCGGATTGCATCATCAACATCTTGGGGCCGCTGTAATCATGCACGCATACATCAGCAATGGTGTATAAATTATTTATAACATTGATCTTCTAATCATGTGGAATAATGTAAAATAACAACGAAACCAAGGGTTTTAGTTAATACGGCAGCTATTGAAGCCGGATAATATGTATATTCGAGTAACGATCTAAAGTGATCCCATCAATTAAAAAGAAAATTGAATTTAACGTACATTTGTCGCACCAAGCACCACAATTTTCGTGTCAGAGCTGGATATTAATCCATCCCAGAGGCTCAAAAACTGAGCTTTCATCATGGCAGTCACTTCATGATCGCCGCGGTCCCGAATTCGCAAAAAGGCATCTGTAGGTGTACACCACAATAACCAAACCAACCAAGTCAGGAACAGAAAAGAAAAAAGCCATCAAATGTGAAACAGTAATTATCTTACCGATTTCATCAATAAAAATTATAGCTGGTTGAATTTTCTCAGCTAAACTGAAAACGGCTGCGGCAAGCTTCTGAGATTCTCCGTACCATTTGTCAGTTAGTGTCGACAATTGTAAATTGATAAACCGAGCATCTGTAACGAACAAGCATGTAACAATTAATACTCGTACACATGTTGGTCTAAAATCTATGCCCTTTCTTATTAAACTGCAAACAGTGAGAACTTCAACGCTCTAATTTTTTCAAACATAATTTTGATCAGTGTAGAAAGTGTATCTCGTTTACATCCACAGCATTTTTACGAATGTAAATAAAAAGCCGTTCTCGACAATACGACTTTCCGTTTCAAATTTGACACGCATTAAATCGCGGAGAATGCATACCTGCTTCCTTGGCCAATGCCTTTAGCCAACATGGTTTTGCCACAACCGGGCGGACCATACAGCATCACACCTACAATCGTAAATCTTGAAGTTTTTCTTAACAGAATACAAACTAACCATACCTGCTCTTTCGCGAGGATTTTCTGCAGTATGAGTGCTCTTTGGCTAATATCCTACGGTGGAAAAGCCAAAAAGAGTAAATAATATGTCATTAATAATCAGGGAATCCTAATTGCTCTGAGTCCTAGGTCTAATCAGTTGTACCGGATATCCAATACAGAATGCGCAAGGCAAACGCCGTCGGATTGCATCATCAACATCTTGGGGCCGCTGTAATGCACGCACACATCAGTATTCGTGTATTAATTATTTACAACACTGAATCACTGATCGTCTAATCATGTGGCATAATGTAGTAAATAATAATGAAACGAAGGATTCCAAATAATACGATAGCTATTCAACCAATTCCTAGTGACATTACCCAGGATAAATCATTATATTCGAGTAACGATTATCAAGTGATACTATCAATCAAACAGAAAACTGAATTTATCGTACATTTGTCGCACCAAGCACCACGATTTTCGTGTCAGAACTGGATATTAATCCATCCCACAGGCTCAGAAACTGAGCTTTCATCATGGCCGTCACTTCATGATCGCCGCGGTCCCGAATTCGCAAAAAGGCATCTGTAGATGTACATCACAATAACCAAACCAGTCAAGTCAGGAGCGAAAAAGAAAAAACCATCAAATGTAAAACCGTAATTATCTTACCGATTTCATCAATAAAAATTATAGCTGGTTGAATTTTCTCAGCTAAACTGAAAACGGCTGCGGCAAGCTTCTGAGATTCTCCGTACCATTTGTCAGTTAGTGTCGACAATTGTAAATTGATAAACCGGGCATCTGTAACAAAAAAAGCATGGAACAATTAATACTCCTACACATGTCGGTCTAAAAATCTATGCCGCTTTCTTATTAAACTGCAAACAGTGAGGCAACTTCAACGCTCTAATTTTTTCAACCATAATTTTGATCAGTAAAATGTAAAGTGAGTGTATCTCGTTTTGTTACATCCACAGCATTTTTACGAATGTAAATAAAAGCCGTTCTCGACAATACGACTTTCCGTTTCAAATTTAGACACGATACGCATTAAATCGCGGAGAATGCTACTGTACCTGCTTCCTTGGCCAATGCCTTGGCCAACATGGTTTTGCCACAACCGGGCGGACCATACAGCATCACACCTACAATAGAAATCCTGATTTACACTCAAGTCCGGACAATTATTTATCAATACTGTAGTTAGTGAAAACTGCAAACTGTTCCAATCCGCAAAAGTGACCAAATAATCACTCACAAGTCACAAAAAACCAATAATTTTAGCATCGATTGTAAGCGTCAGCAGAACAGAGCGAAAATACTTCGACCATTGCGATTTTATTTAATAAATTGACATACGAAGGTAAAAACGACCCAATTTACAGAATCGAAGAAAAACGCTACGTTTTGAAACCAGGTTCCGCAGTGGTACCCACAGTCTGTCAAACCTAAGCACAGGCACAAGTATAATCATTGATTTACCTTTAGGAGGCTGGATAAGCGAAGACGCTCGGGAATCCGCTCGTCGTCGCAATGGCGCCAGGACAGTTCGGCGCAATTCTTCAATCGTACTTTCCAAACCACCGATGTCATCCCAGTCCACAGTTATAGTGGAGGGTTCCACTAGATTCGTCGCCACGAACATTTCATGCTCAGATAAATGTATATCAGGTGAGAGTCCCAGTCGGACGAAGAGATCTCGAGCCTACACACAACAAGCGCGAACTATGATTATCCGCCAAGAAGACTGGAAAGTGTCTGTACCCGTTTCTCGGCCTCCAGTCGCTGTTTTCGGTTAGGCTCGATAATTTCCCGAATGGCTTTCCATGTCATGTAGGACAAGGCAACACATAGAGCGAAACGGACACTCAAACTGACAAACTCTGGATTCACTGGCATCTTGTTATTTTGGTCAAGGTATATCGCGAACGTCGTAAATACAGCCCAGGAGTTCCTCGGCTGTAGTCGTAACACTTCAACATTCAACTTTTCATTAAATAATAGTTCGGTACCAGTCCGTATTAATCAATGGCTTAATATAACAGTGGAAGGACATTAAGGTAGAGGAGATCAACAGCAAACTCATTTCACAATTTCCTAACAAAACAGCTCGTTAACGTTAAAACCTTGAAAGTTTGAGAAGATGGAAGTCGATGTTAGTCCGTTAGACACAATTAGATGAACGAATCCACTCGCACATCCCTCACCTCAGCAGTCAGCGCTTTCTTTCGAGCGTTCAAAACTATTCTTTATCAAGATTATCTTAATGCTTTTATGCGAAACACTTATTACACTCTTTGAAATTTGAAGGACAAACTGTGGCTAAAAACGTGAGATTGATATACTTCCGAAAACTGGGAATATTACTGTAACAGGTTTTCGACTTTGGGCTGCAGAAAATGATGCAATGCTTCATCGGATTATATTTGAGCTAAGTACTACCTTCTCTAACTACCCCGGCTTCATATCTGCTTCCTTTCACGGTATGTATTAAGCTAGCACTAGCAGCAACTGCCACTCTGAGGCGGTCCACATTATCGTCTGCTTACTTCCGGTCAGTTCCACACTACCCGAAACCTTTCCGAGTTTTGTAAACGTTTCGAAAATTGTCAGATAGATCATAGACCACGGTAAAATAATTATGTCCCACATATTCCGAACTAACCTCCCCAGATTAGAAGATCAGAGATCTTGCCAGAAGGCGCAGTACGTAGGCGGATATGTTTCTATTAAGTAAAAATATAAATATGTGTTAATGCGAAATAATAATAATAATTATCCTGCACAAATACCGTGCGATGTGCACGCCTTTCTCGGATAATAATAAAGTAAAATTCATACAAAACATCGTATATTCTTTGTTCCCCAAATAAAGAGGCTCGCGCGCCCATGATTTTCATGCCTGTATAGTACGGTCACGGACTTGGTGGTACTAGTACGATTACTTTTCAGATGCATGTGAATGATAAAAATTATGAACATGATTGAACTTTACTGTAGACTTGATACGTACAACAACACTGTATAAATAAAAATTTACGAGGTATAATTATTTTTTAAAAATTACCCTAATTATAATGGGAAAGCGGCAAGCCGGTAAGTATGCGTATGACGGTAAGTATGTATCTTGTTTGTTAGATCGCATCGCGTCTCCTTCCCCTACCGCCGCAGAGTTACCAGCTGCCTACAAAATCCAACAGCGCGTCATCTTTTGAGTTTTGCAGAATTCACCGAATGGAATCGCAAATTCTCCTTTCCTTTTCCGAAATCCGAAGACAGTTTTGATTGTCATATTGTTATTGATTGTTGCTGGAAACCGTCCGGACTACTTTGGAAAGAACGTAGGGTTGCTTTCTTAATTCGCACATTGTAATCTCTGCTGTTTTATCGTCAGATTCACTGAGCGCAGTAAGTCGTCAATAATCGACACCGCAATGGCGGAAGAGAAAGACTGGCGCTCCAGCAAAAGATCCGTAAACGAACTGCGTATCTGCTTGACCATCCTGACTCTGAGATCCCCAACGACATCACGTTCGTGGTGGGGGACGGATGCAACGAACCCAAGAAGATTTTCAAGTGTCACAAGTAAGTCTGTTAGCGCAATGGCACTCTGTATCGTGAATTTGTCATTTTGATTTGTGATAAGAAAATAATGCTGCTGCAAATCAGCAAATGAAAATAATGCTGCTGCAAATGAGGAACCATGATTCTGTTATAAACAATTTGGCGTATGTGCAAGTGTACAGATACAGCTATTCAGCGATGTCGCCGTACCCAGGTTTTAGATCGAATGTTCAGCGGACCATGAAATCAGCTGCATTTTGTTGACCGATGTTATTTTCCAGTTTAATGAAATTAATGTCGTTTATGGTGTCCAGTGTCCTGCATGTTGTCCTATAACTGTCCACTGTCTGCATCGTTTACCTGTTGCAGATTCATTTTGGCACTGGTTAGTTCCGTCTTCCAAGCTATGTTTTATGGAAGTTTCGAGGAAGTCGAAGTGATTAAACTACCCGATATCACGCCATTCGCCTTCGAACATATGCTTCGGTCAGTTGTTAATTCGATCAGTTCTGTGTGGCTTTTTACCGTCGATTTGAAACGTCATGATGGCGATTGGCGAACAGCGAAAATATACTACTGTGCGATCGGCTATATAGCAGTACCACATTTAATTATACAGGAGCCAAAAGGAGATCCTTTTTCTCCTGCTTTCCAACCTTTGGTGTTTGATTAATGTGAGTATTGATGTTGTGCAGGTTTGCATACGCTGATGAGTGCACCTTCGAGGAGGATGTACCGTTGGTCAGTATCTTCAGCACCTTGTACTGCGCCAAGAAATACCTAATCAGCAAGTTGTTGCGCGCCTGTCGAGATCGGATACAGTCTCATCTGTTCGACGCTTACGAGGCTTCGGATCCTCTTATCGCCATGGAACAGGTATTGTTTGTCAAACCCAGCCTGTTGGCTGAGTTTGTACTGCCTTAAAAACCAGTATACAATTTAAAACGGATAAAGTTGTTCATTATCAATATGCAGATGAGTTAGACTCAACACCATGTTTAATATCGATTAACATTAATTGGAAACCACAAAATACTTACTGTACTCGTAATGGTTGCGCTCAGTCTCCTGCATCAGCCTGTAATGCATGTACTTGTACATAGTACTTGTAGCCTGTAGGTTTCACCCTTTTTTGTTGCGTCTCAGTTTTGCACACATTCTTTCGAATTAAAAATAATCTATCTATCTATCTATATAAAAGAATAAGAAGGTGCACAAAATTTGTGTGTGTCAGGGTCTAAGTCATAGACACCTTCAACCAAACTTGAATGTCTATATACCGTTCGATAGCCCAGAATGTGTAGATTTGTACAAAGTTATCAGATTTCAGAAAAACATAAACAATTTGGAGAAAAATTCAGAACTCTAACATGGAAAGTCTACGGGACGTCAAAAACCAGTTAACGAGCGCAGTTAAGTGAGTAGCCGCCACCCTGTGTGGCTCTGCTCAGTCTGCTGATTTTACCGTAACGGCGAAAAAGTACGGCTTCAGCTTGCAACACATTATCCCGTTCGTAGTCGAGTTCGTTTAATTTACGTTTAAATTTTCGAAGGTAAAAGGCACACGTTTCAACTTTAAAGTGTGTTCGGTTGTCATTTGCAGATTTTTGCAAAACGTACTGTAAAAAACTACACATAGTTATCTGTAACTATGTAAGTATCTGACTGATTCTGACAACTATTCCCGATTTCCCGTAATGAAATTTGAGGGCAGGCACACGCGGAGTGTGCTTGTCCTCAATAGTTTGTGCAGCCCTCAGTTTGTGCAGCTGCTGCAATAGTTTCGCAATGTAAATCTGTGGAAATTGCTGCAAGTAAAAAACTGAAAAAAACGGGAAATTTTGTGTTGGTTATGTTCAGTTTTTGTAAGCTTGGAAACTTCTTGCGAGCTATGCCGCCGTTCGGGTTTCAAACCTCATGTTACCCAATCTGATAGTTTCATAGCAGCCGTGACGCGTACCAGCGGATCTCGCGGAACAACATGCGAGACATTCTGCATAGTGCTTCGTAATTCTGTGGCACAGTAATAACACAATCCCGAATTTACACAAATTAAAAGTATACAGCAATCTTAAGATTGGCGAAAATGGAAAATCAGATTTGCTTTTTGTGTTTTCTGAATTGTCCTTTCAATCCATAAGTAGACGTGGAAAACTGAATGCTAAAAGTAACGGCCACCACTCCGTTACAAACTTTTAAAATCTTTTGTTTCGACTACGACCGTTCACGACCGTTCTCACTACGCTCACCCCGTGCACTAAGTACATAGCGTTCCATTTACCCGGTAAACTACCTTTTCGGTTTTCGCCTTTTACCGTCCGTTATGGTCCGACGTGGGAAAACACTTAGCAGTGTTTCCTGCACAATAATTTTACTATCTTTGAAAAGATGTACGCGTTATTTTAATACCTAAATTCCAGAAATTATTCTTATAAATTCAACAATAAAATTCTTTTGAATTTAATCAGAAATTATTCAGACTGTATATAAAGAGTGCTGCGCGGCATAATAATTATTGGTATTTTTGTCTGACTGTTTAAAGTAGCAGCATTTACGAAAAATACTACTGTACGATCATATAAAACATTTAATTATACAGGAGCCAAAAGGAGATCCTTTTCTCCTGCTTTCCAACCTTTGGTGTTTGATTAATGAGTATTGATGTTGTGCAGGTTTGCATACGCTGATGAGTGCACCTTCGAGGAGGATGTACCGTTGGTCAGTATCTTCAGCACCTTGTACTGCGCCAAGAAATACCTAATCAGCAAGTTGTTGCGCGCCTGTCGAGATCGGATACAGTCTCATCTGTTCGACGCTTACGAGGCTTCGGATCCTCTTATCGCCATGGAACAGGTATTGTTTGTCAAACCCAGCCTGTCGAGTTTGTACTGCCTTAAAACCAGTATACAATTTAAAACGGATAAAGTTGTTCATTATCAATATGCAGATGAGTTAGACTCAACACCATGTTTAATATCGATTAACATTAATTGAAATTTAGTACTTACTTACTCGATGGTTGCGCTCATTCCTGCATCAGCCTGTAATGCATGTACTTGTACATAGTACTTGTAGCCTGTAGTTTCATAGTCTTTTGTGCAGTTTCAGCTTTTTTGCGCTCATTTGCGAATTAAAAATAATAATAAAATAAATAAATAATATCGAGGGCTGTTTAAAACCATAATAGCGTGTGGAAAAATTTACATGTCGCATTGATCTAGGTTAGCATAATTAAGCCCGCGTGGGGATTCTGTATTATGTCACTTTAATGCAGTTTTATACATTTTTCACTATCATTAGATTTTCTTGCTAACTGCGTATACTGCTTTCTAGGCACGCTTTTTGGATGAAGGAGATATTGCTGATATTGCAACTGCGGAAATTCGTTGTTATACTTCGGTTATCCTGAATTCAGCAGGTTTTCTGGATCTTCCGTTGGATTCAGTGAAGCATATTCTTGAACAAGATCGCCTGAGTGCTGCCGAACCGAAAATCTATCGAAGTGTCTGTCGGTAAATAGTGCTATCATATTGCAAGTTTTGCATCTTTTGCTATACTTCGGTATGTCAGAAGTACGCTAAAAATTCCAGTTGGGTAAAATGCAGTATGGATTCTGCCATCGTTACTCTGCGTGAGGCTTTCGGATCGCTGTTATACTTAATTCGCTTTCCTTTGTTCACTCCCGTGGAGTTAGCCGATGGGCCAATGAAGGTATGCTGCGTCTGTAGGTTTGATTGTAATCCGTCCCATGGTAGCCGGACTAGGAAGGTACCTATCTCAGCAAAGTTGTAGCAACCATGTTTAATAGCGTTTAATAGGTTCCTTTGTTGCCTTTAATAGTTTCCTTTGTTTGTTGCATGCGTGCCGTGGTCTAGTTTTATCGAATTTTTATCGTTGGAACAGGATGGCGTATTCACGGACGAAGAAGGCTATAAATTGTTTCAGTACTTCTTCGCAACGTCGAAACCTGCTGTGCCCTTCGCCACGGTGCCGCGTGCGTGCCCGGATAAACCCGAAACGCTGAAATTTATTATGGAAATTTCAAGGATAAATGAGGAATTGCCGTTTGTGATTTACGAGGAGGTCATTTATATTAATCTGCGTCCAGATCTGGCTCCGGGATGCATAGCCTTTTTGAAAGAAATCGTTGGCGGGAAGTATTTTCTGCGGTTTGGGGCTTATCCTAACGAGCATCACAAGGAATGCTCCGGCATTCCACCGGCTGTTGAAGAACAAAACGCCGTGTCTTTCACTGTTAAAGGAGCTTGCTGGTTCGAGTGGGACATCCAAGACGGGAAGGTGTGCGATTTAACAATCGCAGCATGGAAGAAGCCCAGTATTTTTCACAGTGCGGTGTTTGGTTTTGTCACAAACAATGACTTTGCTGAGAAGCTGTTTAAAGGATTTAGTTTGTTGGATGAATACTGCACGGGGAATAGCGCTCGGGGCAGATTTTGTTTTTACCAGTGACTTTTGTTTTGTCCATTATTATAACGAGACTATAATACCAGTTTTTGAAGACTGAAAATCACCGACGTTTGCGGGTATAATTGAGATTTTGTTTCGTGTGACTTTGTTCGATGTCAAAATATTTTTTTTATAAACGCATATTTGCGATTGATTTTCTTTGGGTTCGGGTCTGTCCTAAGAAATCCACAGGCAAAATGCCTGGTTATTAAAGTATTAAAGTGCGCCCAGATCCGGCTCCTGTTTGTGGTGCTTTGATATGAAATAACCCGTTGTCGCCTTGTGGGAGAAAATTTTTTGCAGTTCAGATATTATGTGAATGATAAACAATCCGCAGGCATCCCGTCAACACGAACGAAACTTGCTCTCGTACACGGCTTCCTGGTCCGAGTGGGAGATCATAGACGGGAAAAGTTCTCGACTTGACCACTGCAGCCTGGATGAGCCAGTCGTCTGTCACAGTGCGGATTGTGGATTTATTGACGACAGTGATCTGAGGGACTGAAATTTAAAGGTGAATCAGTGCGCACTTACGGTACGAGTAGTTAAACGAATACCCACCCGTATTGCTAACGGTATGAGTTGCTAAGATCGTAACACCTACTTAGCGGCCGAACCTCAGTTATGCAAATTTATTCACATTCCAATCTTTAACGGCGAAATGCGAAATACACTCTTGCAATATCGAAACTGCACCTGGAATACACTAAGCTGACCTTTGAGTGCTTAATCAGTGTTTCTAATTTTGCGCACCTTGTCCTATTAACAACTTCATCAATAAACTGTGCACTTTATATTTTATTAGGTACTAAAACATTCTGTAATGGAACCTCTATCGTGTGGTACTACTAGAATTAACAGCTGCGCCAACATATTTTCCGAGTGCTATCCAGATGATTCCTGTGTATTCAAGGTAATTAATTACTTTAAATCGCACCATGTAATGTTCTATAAGCCGGAGTGTTTCTGTCTTGCAAGCATACTAATCACCGACGGAAGAGACCGGATACGCCAATAGATCACGATGTGCAAACAACCTTCAACGATTTGGAATTATGGATAGTTCAGCATAACTATCTGGTGCAAGCTATCGAACATTATCTCAAGGAAGGACCGCTTGCAACAACCAAGCGTTACATTTATGAAACAGCTACGCGATTTAAGAAATCCAAAGGTCAGCTGAACAACGACAAACTCCATCTGGGAAATGAAATGATTTACGCGGGAAGGTCACTGGAAAGTTACGACCGCGGTCTCTATGGTAATCAGCACCTATCGGTACCTCTGAAAAGTTGACCATAAGCTGATACAAAACAGCGATAATTTATAAAAAAAAGCTACTTACTCAAGAAAAAAAGCTACATAATGCAATACTTGCTGTCGAGTACGGGATGGATTAGTTCGATTTGAAAAAATACTCCGGCATACCCATATTTGCTCAAGCCGGCTGTGTACATACAATTACGCTAAGTATCTCAACGTGTGTAATTATCCAGTATTTTATTTTTTAGAGATTCTATCCTGTTCCAAAAATTACTTACTGTTCGTACTTAATGTATGTTGTTATGTACAAATCTGTGTTTTTACTCGAATTTGGTCTACAAAACAAGTTGCTTATAAAAGTAAAAGATCACTGTATACGTAACAGTGTGCACAGCCTCAGCCGACAACAGAAATAGGCGGCCTAATCACACGGACCATCTGCGTTGGTGGCAGTTGTGGTCCTACGTCAGCTATATGATATTCTATCACACATCTGGTTACCTTAGAAAGCTGAATGTGTAAACTATAAAGATATATGTATTTTTTTCGTATATCTTTCTGTAATTATTGTAATATGCAAGCAATACATTCGAATTCAATTACAAATTTGTAATCTGTACTTACTACGCCAACATGAGTACAGTATATAGCGAATATGAATAAATTTACTTGCCGGTTTCGGGTTCCCAAATAGGCGGTGAACAATTTTCAGGCCGGCATAATATTGCTAATGTACTAAATTTCTGCAGGAATGGTCCTGGTAAACGTTGGACTGGGACAGTGGGATCTTGGTCATGAGGAATCAAAATTTGTTACGTTAGTCGCCATGAATTACCTTCTTCCGGTGCGAAATTTCATTACCCACACATTGCGCCCAGCACTGGTTCGTAAGTGTTTGCTTGCTTACCTACATACAAATTCTATGACATTCACAGTCCACACAATCATATGCATACACAGATACATAATTATGTAATTTACAGTAAATGACGCTATGCTCTGGTGTTATTTATCTGCAGATCGTGCAATAATTATTAATGGCTGTAGAAGCAGGTTTTTGGCAATCCATACTTTTTTCACGAAATTGCTTACCATTGTAGAAGGAACGGCAACTGCTGCATAATCGGCGTGCAAATTTGGACGCCGTACAAAATGTGGACAGTTCTGCTTCGGACACCGATAGAGAAGCTTCAACAACGTCGAAAAAACAACAGAGGGTGCTGATTTTGTTATCTACGTACTTTTTCATTAGTAATACTTGAAGTATTGATAATTTATCACGCATAAGCGTCGCCGATCTTCTTCAGATACTTTGTGCGAACTAACGCATTTTCTAGAGACGAAATCGCCAGAGAACTGCACGACAGGGATTCGACGAACAGCTATCAGAAGCCAAGACTGTGAGTCGGCACATTCAGGAAGAGAAAAAACGCATCCTAATCTCTCTTCTGCGATTTGTGGAGTGTCAACTACAGTACATGCAGAATAACCTTATTATTGTCTCGGCACTGCGAAACTCTTTAGCCAGGTTTGTGTGGCTTTTGGGCGTAAAATACCATATGCAGCTATTTTAAAGTTGGACAATACCATGCACTCAGAAAAAATTATGGACAATCATAATACAGAGTATAATCATGCACGAATACATTACATGACCTTTATAATTATACTCGTTTCTATTGTGTAATTGTCGCTGACATGCATCCGATTTAGTGCGGAATGTTAGTACAGTAACTTATGGTTATTACATTAAGGTGTACTTAAAATGAAATGTACATCTTTACAGAAGACTGGAACCGGAATTCTCCACACTATTAAAATGGCCGCCCCACGCTTCTCACATAACCGCAAGTGAGCCCAGCATCCATCACACCAGCCCAGATATTTCGAGCACCCCCTCCCAAGGATTTGCCGACAGCAAGAGTACGGAGACTGTATCAGCGGCTGCAGCATTCATACCGCTCACTCAGTCCTTCCCCCAAAAAATGCGTCCCCATGAATTTCACGAACGCGACGGTTTCGATCGTCTGCTGGACGAAACGCACCGTACCAGCCGCAGTGCGTCCACTCCCTCATTGGCCCCCAGTACCGACCAATCAGCTGAGCCGACGTACTGGGACGATACTGCCACTGATACTGAGACGTACAACGAAACAACCGATGATTCGTTCAGTCAGTCACAAGAGACCATCGCCTCGCAATCGTCTTTTCATGAGGAACGACCGAAAAGAGCGTCGCAGTTCCTGAAGAAATTTCTACCCTCGACATGGATCTCCAGTCCGGCAATACTGCACAGCGAGCAGGGTGGGATCTTTCAGCAGGTGATGAAGCCGGTGAATGCCGTGCGACGGACATGGGGCGCAGTGAAGTCGGTGGTTAGTCTGTCGCGACAACACTTGGAACCGGATGGCACGCATCCTAAAGGAAGAGGAACGATCGCCGAAAATGAGATGACACTGTTCAGTGTTATGGAAAGCCTGAGGAAATCCGGTGCCGCAATCAATTAAACAGACATGACGTCCGTCGCATAGTTTTACGGGACAGTTGCAATCGAATACAAGGAAATCGAAAATTTGTTGCACTGGTGTATTTTTTTCGGTCTCTCGATGGTTCGGAAACAAGCTTGACTTATTGTACGAGCTCGTACACCGCATAAAATTATAGTGAAATACAAAATTGCTACGAAAACATTTTTTAAAGCAAAATTGTACTCATGGTCAGTTATGACGTGAAGCTCACAAAGCCGACGAAGCCCACTAGTACAGGAAACAATTTTACCTGTATGCTTTAACAGCGGCTACTCTTGGGTTTTTTTGTGAGGTTTAATGTAAAAAACCAATGGACTGGAAAAGTTATTGAACAAATAACAAAGCTAAACATAACAACGAACTGAACTGACTGGGAAACATTTCCAAAAACGCACTCGAATCCAGTGTAAATCACAGTTATCGCGGAAATACAAATTACGGCGCTGCCGCTGCATCGTCCTCTCCATTCCATTCTACACTGTCAAATTTACTAAATTTCCACTCTTCCACTGCCTGCTGTACGAGATCTCGGGCGTTCTCAATTTGCTCCTTCATTTCCGGAGTGTACGGTTCAAAGTCCATCTTGAACTTCCGCCGCCTGAATAATCCTTCGTACTTTTCCACGACACAGTTTAGCATGTTCTCGTCTAACTGATCCTTAAAGCCAAGGAAATCAATCACTTTTAGGAGTTCCTCTTTTTTGTTGGTCAGCAGTTCTTCGAACTGAACAACATGGACGGTGACTGGATTCTGCGATAACCTGCACAAATGCCAAAAGGTCGTTGGGCGTTAATTCTGGCAGTAACGTTTTAGCTAACTGTAGCTACTAGCTAGTACAAAGCATAGAATGGCACTTCTTTCGCATGTTGCGCATAGCCTGAAATTACTGCATCAGTGTAGGCGGCGCAACGCCAAAAATTTAATAATTATTATCACGAGGAAGAAGTACAAGTACTTGTACGAGAGTATTTGCAGCTTTAGCGAGCAGTGCTATAGTACATGCCGTCAAGCAGCGAATACAACTACGTACGTTTCAATAAAACCAAATTTTGTAAATGCGGCTTTTTGCAACAAATACTGTATCGCTGTCTTCCTCATCTGCGATGCCCCAAAGCTATCGACAGAGTACGAGTTTATTCTTCGCGATCGGTAGTTGACCTTATCACTTAATAATTATTTACAGTTAACCCAACACACAATCTGACGAATGCCGCTTCCGAAAATTTAGTTGGCGATCGAAACAGTTATACTATTACGCTGTAGTACATGTATGTACTCTTACAATTGTTAAACAGCCTATAAATGAATGGGCCTTAAAATTAACAAATTGTAAGTAAATTTGGTTCACCAATATTCATACATGATAATGCAGTAAAAAAATATTAGGGCAAGTAATGCTGACACTTTTCATATTTTATCAGGCAGCATCTGCAGATAGACAGTCATAGACTTACCAGTATTCGTTCATTTCCTTCCATTCTTCTATAGATTTAGGAACAAACGATCTCCACTCTGCAATTTACAAATTTAAATTTATGTTCACGACATGCGAGTGCAAGCCTTTCATAAAAAATCTGCAAAAGAATGCGTTCGACTAGAGAATAAATGATAAATGTGCAGGGCGGAATTCATGGGCTTATTTATATTACACAGTACTTGCAGAGAACGAGTTGCTACAACTAAATTGTATGTGTTCAAATATGTTATTATAAAGAACATACCTTCGGTATCATAAGAATCTCCTTGTGCAATGCCTGTATGTGTTCGCGTCTTGTACTGGTTCCATTTAGCCAGAATGGCATCTTCCGGTTTTCTCACCAAGAGTATCACTTTCTTATAATTCGCTTTCGTGGCTTTTTTACCGTAACCGTGTGTTTTGACCACAATCACTTTGCTGTCGGCAGTCACTTCCCCATAAAAGCCACCATGGTACAACTGAAAATCGGGTACAGCCGAACCGGTCCATATTCCTGCAGTGAATCGTCAAAATTAATGGTAGATACACGAATATTGAATTTATTAAATTTTGTAAGTGCATCCATAGGATAGCTGGTTAACTTGATATTCTCTGCAGCAAGTGTAATTAATGCGACTTTTCTATAAGTTTATTACCTGTAATTTGTTCGATAGCGCCGCGAAGATACGTATTTCCTGCAAAAATATTTACCATGATCAGTAAGAAAAGTTGTGGATTTATGTGAATGCAAGTTTATTTCATAGGACAACAGTAAATATTTTACCGGATCCGGTGAAAGAAGCCAGTGCGATCTTTGGCAAAGGTGTCGGAGAAAAGTTCAGGATCTTTCTACACGGTCGCATCTTGGGATCTAATTCCGGCCCAATCGGTCCTTCTTCCTGTGGACTGATTAAGCGCATACGAATCAGCGGTAACGTCGACAACAGTCCTGCCCCAGCGATAATGCACAGCATTAACGCCGTGATAAACCATTTGCAACGGATCTGGCTGAGGGAAGATTTCAGGAAGAAGCGGACTTTTTCCCTGTACATGGAAATTCTGTATGACAGCGGGATTCCCTTGGCTGGTTCATCTGGAATTAGACCGGCTTCCTCAAACTCACTCCACGTTAAGCCGTCGGCTGTACTTGTCATCCTTGCCCGAACCATGGAGATGGTAGGGTTACGCAAATATTTATGAAAATAAACTAGGAAAGCGCTTTTTAATAATTTAAATCCTTTAAAGAACAAAAACAAATGCGTGCATTGGCAATATAAACTAAAATAGCTACGTATTCATTTGCGATGCTCATGCATGTGTCGCGAGAAAGGGCGATGTGTTGCCCGCAGGGCATTAAATTTACAGCTGCAGTCGTGTTCACTTTCAGTAAATGTAAGTAAAGACGAACACCATTTTCCGTGCACACAGCATTTTATGAGAATCCGCGTCTGAAGGTACAAGTAGAAACCAGAATGATAGAAAGATACAGAACCGTACATGCCTACCTTACATCTTACAACGAAGACAAAGAATTCTATCCGTAGAACATTTTTATCTTCTATTCCAGCTGTTTTAAAATTTCGAGTTTTTAGAATACCGATAAAAACATAGTGCAAACCTACTGTAGTGGTGTTAGGATATTTAAATTATTATTATAAATCTTGTAGGGGTAAAATACAGATTTCTAGCCTCTATGTTAACGTTTGTTCACAATTAATTTGTATGCGGGTAGTAATTGTTAATTTACGTATACGCTACTTAATTATAAGAAGTAGAGTACAGTCGGAACTTGTTATCTTTCCGAACAAATAAATGCCGTGAAATAAAGTCGATATATCGAAGTACGTATGTAAAGAATATTTAGCCACTATATTTATTCACTTGTTGTAAATCAAAGTCACAGCAAAGCTGCCAAGGAAACACATATCAATAATTTTAATATCGTGTAGTATTACTCTGTAGTATCGTATTAGAATATTTATATATCGTATTAGTCGACGCACAATGCCCTTTCTGTGATCGTATCAACTTCCGTTCTAGATTACCTACAGTGCGTAACACATCGTGACTTTTAGTAAATCAAATTAAGTTATTTCCGAAATAAAAAGTATATTCAACACACCGTGTGTTGAATACACTTTTTGTTTCGGAAAATAAATTAATATGATTTACTAAAAGTTACGGCACTAGGTTATGGTTTCCCGGAACGCTTTCCGAATCGTTGCGTTGCGGTACTGTGCTAGTGACACGAAATAATATCGATTAAGCCCAATAAAGGCGTCATCAACAGTTCACTACTCTACTCGAATATGGTTACACAGGCATGGCCGATCTGTGTATACTCGAGTAATCGTCCAGTAATATACCGATCGCACTGCCCTGGATGAGTCCTCATCCCGTCGACGCAAGCAACTAATTATCCAGATCAACGGCGCTGTAACAAACATTTTTTCTAATCACATTGTGAAGAGGAGCCGGTATATGTGTACACGGTCCCCATTTCCCTCCCGCGCAATTACACAACACACTGCACTGTTTGTACTTTCCCAACGCCTGGAACATACTTGAGCATGCGGGTAACCGGAAATATCAACGGCATACCATATCGATCGCCGCAGTGACGTCAATACCGCTTCGTAGTAGATCATTCATCCGCTTTACACTGTTACACACGCAAGTACAGGCTGAAGCAGTTCCACTGACTCTGAGATCAGCCAGAGTGACTCGCTGCAGCACCACGTCAGATGTTTTTTCGCTGCACAGATTATGTATATGATGCCTTCCGACCGATGTCATTGTTTGCTAAGCTAGCATGGGAAATGACTATTCTACACACATGATCGGCGGACGCCCTACTTATCATCCGCCGCACGCCCGCAGTGGTGGTGCCGTAGCAACTGCCGCTGTTACACCCCGTATAACGAGTACACCCCGTGCAGCTCACCCTCCGCGTGCTGCTGCTACTCGAACCAACTCTAATCATCGTGATCGCGCTGCACGTCCAACCGCACCTCCTGATTCCAGAATGAGCGGATCCCGAAGCCCCGTCCTAGCTATGGTAAATACTAATAGTTTTGTATCCTCCCTGTTTTGTATCCTCCCTGATCGTTATGATTGCAGCTGCAACGCCGTCGAGCACGGATGCACCGCCCTCCTATGACGATTTGTTTGGCGGTCCTCCTCAATCGTTTGGCAGCCCCCCTGAACCGTTTGCCAGTCCCCCTGGATCAGCCCGATCTACGAAATCAAAATCAGTGAGTCAGCAACAACAGACAGCTGACTGATACCGTTATCTGGCATACAGACAGTACATGCAACATTTTCGTTAATATGTTAGAATGCTGATTACTATCAGTACCCTACACCGCCGCCGTCCACAGGGCATTATTCGGGCGCGTCAGCTTCCCCGCGTCCTTCATGGCGTCAACCCGACCCCGTGCCCGCATATAACGCGCCGCACGGCTACGCATCTGCTCCTCCGCGTTCCTTGGTGCACAACGCGCAAGAACAGGAAGACGAAGAGGAACTGCGCACCTGGTTCGCAGCCATTGATGAATCCAAGTAAGTCGCACGTATTTTAACACGATACCAGCGCGTACGGGTGCTTTGTGTCTCCCATTCAGTTTTAAAATCAAAACGATTACTTCACGTGCACATAGCGTAGCTGTGTGCAGCAGATTAGCTTAATTGCTTAAACTGCACGTGTCTGCTTGTATGATGTAGTCAAATAGACACTGAGACAAGCGTCAACAGATGATTACAATTTACATTACTGCAGTACTTGTCAGGCTATTAAGTGTAAACAGCTGTAAACAAAGCGGTTCAGATCAGGACTAAGCCGATTGCGCAAACCGAATCCTTCCCACGAAACTAGCGACGAATGAGTGAAGATTGTGATAAGCCGTCGATCGATCAGCGGAGGTGACAAACACTGCAGTAATTGCGGTTAGATGATAACATTCCGGAAATGCTTTCGTCGTTCATTTTATCAAAATGAGAAAGTGCACGGTTTAAAATTATTTGGCCTTTGCGATTAATGTAATTAATGTTAATTAATTAATTAAAATTACGCCCTATTTGGATTTTTTAGTGATGGACATATCTCGGCACAGGAGCTGCGTCAAGCATTGCTGAATGATAATTTCACCCCGTTTCATGAAGACACCGTCAAAATGATGCTGAAAATGTTCGACAAAGATATGAACTGTAATTAAGTTCTGGGATGCTTATTCCTTGATATTTCCACATATTTGCTCATATTTGCTGATATGTTTTAGCCCAGATTGAGTTTTCGGAATTCGCTGGACTAAAGCGCTACATTTTGGTATATGAGACGATTTTTCTGTGTATCCTTTTTAACGATTTTATTGACGACTACTTATTCGCAGGAATGGAAAAAAACATTTGATCAGCATGACAGTGACCATTCGGGATCCATTGACGTCGACGAGGTAAACATCTCACCGTACCGGAACTTAACTACCACATTGACATTTAGGAATGTTCAATAAATCCTTTATTTCTTAGATTGCTCATGCTCTAAGCACAATGGGATACACGTTCTCGCATAACTTCTGCAAAGTGCTATGCAAACGCTTCAGCTCCAAGACAGGAGCACGCATGGACCTTGACGCATTCATTTACGCATGCGGTATGATATCACATTTCACTCATAAAAGATTTATAATATTTCCGTTTGTTTATGCAGCAATGATTAACGCTCTCGCCAAGGAGTACCGGAAAAAATTCCGAACGGAATTCCTGGAAGAATACGTTCTTAAAAAGCTGTGACAGTGGTCGGACTGTACAGATACGATACAACTTGAATCTCAACCGGAACAGATTATATGTCCAGCAATTGTTCTATTGTTGTGTATGTCTTGCCAGAACGATATGACAGAATCATCCTGGTCCAGTGTCTTGTTGGTTTTTCGAATGTTTGCAAAATACTCCGCTCCTTTTTTAGGTCTGCATCTGCAACATTCTTTTGTACCCGTACATTTTTATGTCCCGTAGATTTTCAATTGTTGTATTGTATTTTTTCCGATTTACTGTAAATACGGATGCCAATATGCTGTTTTCAAGGCCCGTTTTCTGCCACTGGCCGTCAGCAGACTTTCGGTCATTTAAGGTAATTAAATTTCCATACCCGGTTTTGTGTTACGTAACCGCAGATTAAAATTAGAAAACAGACCGCGAGCGTATGAACGCCGCGGTGACGACTCATGACTTGGGGAATGGGGAGCGAATTTCGGAGTTTGCTATAATTTCACTAATTACAGTACTAACTAGTAAATTAAAGGCAAGTTTGAGGAATGGACAAATGCAGTATGTAGTATATGATCCACAGTCTGACCGGAAACCGGCTTCTACGACAGCCAATCACATCAGCCAACGTCAGAAGCGATAAATGAGACTGTTGGCTTCGTTCGAGGCGCTGAGCTAAAATAAGTTTGGTTTCCGGAAAATTTCTGCTCATCTCATAGTGTTCACACTACTCCTATCCGCCGTATCAAAAAAACCATCACATTTTCATTGAATACACCTGATTCGTCGTGAAATTCTGAACAAAACGGTTGAGGCCGATTTTGAAATAGAGAGGGGGGCCCCAACACAGCCTGACTGGAATTTTCAAAAATGTACTTCTCCTACAGCTTTTATCGCATATTTTTTTCGAAAATATTCCTGAACTCACCGTCAAATTCTGAACAAAACGGTTGAGTGCCAAATTTCAAATTCGTTCCTCCCCAAGCACGTCCACCCGGGCGGTCGCCTATGTCACAACCCAAGTTTTGGGGCATTCCCCTGACCTCAGAAATAGAGAAAAAATTTGCGCTTGAAATACTAATTGTATCACTGAAAAGGCTCGAGAAGATGTCTTGACTGCTCTTGGGGCCAGGGAATGCCCCAAGAACAGGCTGTTTGGTGACCGCCCGCAGTAACGGTCTGGGAAATGAATTTCAAAATCGGCCTCAACCGTTTTGTTCAGAATTTCACGACGAATCAATGGTGTATTCAGAAAAATTTTCCGATGAAAACTGTAGGAGGAGTTTTTTTTCGAAAATTGCACAGGGGTCTCGCGACGGGCCTGCTCCTATCCGAATAAATGAATGAAAAATTAACTTCGTAGGACAAGGTGATTATTGATAGAAATAGTTATCACTTCTGATGTCAGAGACTCAGCGGCTATATGCCATGCCGCTCGAGGACGCTGGCTCATTGTCAGGTGACCGATATTCATAATGAGTCACTGACGTCAGCAATGTTGTGATAACCGCCAATCTCAACTGAGACGAAGTTCGTGTTGATGTCACTGCTGGAACGGTAGTAGAATAGCTCCTATCACGGTCATAGCAGCCCATATCATTTTCCTTTCCTTCAAAACTTTGTGATAGATTTCCCCCCTTATCTGTACTATCAGGAAACAATTATCTCCCACTGGTTTTGCACCGTAATTTTTACTGTTTTATTTATCATTTGGATTTATCTGGCGACAGATAAGTAAGGAAATGGCCGTCTGTCATCTGGAGTCGTAAGAACGAGTATAATAAACTATGGGCAACGAGGAATCAGCCCCATCAGACAATTTCACTAAATCTGGTTCGTCTGGGATGAAGAGGCAGTCTACTCCTAATTCGGTTCCACAGCGTAATTGTAAGGAAGCCTCTGTGCGTAGTAAGTGCGCCCCAATCACATCCCGTGTTGCAGCTGATAATCCTGAAGCTCCACCAGCGTATGACGATCTGTTTGGGCCGCCTGGAGGCGCATCCTCCTCGGCCGGACCACCGCGGACGTCCGTACAGAGTCCCGTCCATGCCAATCCCCCTGCCACACAGTATTTCCCCGCGTCCGTGGTCGGTCATGGCAGCCACACCAATGGACTACTGCACAGCGGAAACTATAATCAGAATGCGTTGCTCTCCACGACCACCTCGACACAGTCGAATGCTGGTCGACTTAGTCCCAGTTTCTTCGCCAATTCACGCCTGCCACAGTGGCAACAGGAGGAGGAGGAAAGGGAGCTGCGAATGTGGTTCGAAAATGTGGATGAAAATAAGTGAGTCAATCGCTTGGATTTCGTAATTGAAATTCTGTTGATTTATGTTCGTCCGTTCGACAGTTTTGGTTGAAATTCAAAATTCAATAGTCCTATAACACTAACAACAGAGTCAATGAAAAAGGTAATGATCTATAAATAGCCCAGAGTCACTTATAATCAATATTCAACAGTATTCAGTCGATAATCTCTTCCTCGCCTGCTTTGTGTTTTGTGATGCGTCTTTTAACTTTTGCATTATTGTTGATTATTCGCAAGACGAAGAGGTATTAATACATCACTATTTTCTTGTCGTGCATTTCCTTGTTTGCGTTTTTGTTTCGTTTGGTATAGCGAGTGAAATTTTTGCATATTTAATATCTGAAAAATTTGGACTGTTGCAGCTATTTGCTACTTCGCAGTGTTCTTAGTATTGCATATTATTTTTAGTGACGGGCATATAACCGCCGAGGAATTACGCATGGCGTTGCTGAACGATAACTGGACGCCGTTCAATATGGACACAATCAAAATGATGCTGAAAATGTTCGACAAAAATTCCAACGGTACTTTTGCACACTTGTATGTCAGAACTGCATAGCTTATTTTGATTTTATCGTTTGTACGCGTAGATCGGATAGAGTTCGAGGAATTTGCCGGACTAAAGCGTTATGTCCAGGTGAGTTGGGCATTGGGAATTGTTCTATTTTGGGCTGCAGGATAGACATTTTATTTCCGAATACCGACAAGCGACGGTGTTTGGGGATTTGACTCATTTAACGACTCGTAAAACCAACCGTAAAATGTAAATTGTTGTACAAGTAGTGTTGTTGGGTGAGCATTATAACTCCGCTTGCTTGCATTTGGTAGGAATGGAAAAAGGTTTTTGATCAGTACGATGACGACCATTCCGGCACCATCGACGTCAACGAGGTTAGCAGAAGCAAATCAATGTTTATTACCCAGTGGTGTTTCGCTATTTCCTCCACTTGTCTGAATGGATGGTGTTCGTTGTAGATACAGCAGGCATTTCAAGGCATGGGATACACATTTTCTCATCCGTTTTGCGCCACACTGTGCCGTCGGTTTAGCAGTAATCGGTCCATCCAGTCGATCAATCTGGACGCTTTCATTTATGCATGTGGTAAGTGGCGTGAGTTTTTATTTAAAACCGGTTGCAAATTTCAAGCAACATGCACATCGTGTATGTTCAATATAATTTGTACAATAATGATGTGTTCGTTCTCAGAAAATTTTTCAAAAATGATTGACAGTTTGTTGTATTTACGGAGTTTACTCTTACCTATGGGTTTGTTATTTTTCTGCGCTTGATAATGTCTGTTAATGTGTGTTTCATTTTGCAGCGATGGTAAATGCCTTGTCCAAGGACCACGAGAGAAATCGACGCGGCATCTCCTTCGAAGATTTCCTTAGGCAGTGGATCGCGTCTTCATGACCATGTATTATACGTAAAATTGCCTGCACCGTTTTGTGCCGTATTCCCAGCCATTTGTCCGCTCAAGCCTTAGACGTCGATCATTTGTGGGAGTTTTATTTTCAGTTTGCTTTCGATTTCGGTTGTTTCTGTACAAAGCTGATTATTGTGTTTACTGGTCAATCCCAAATCGTAGATTTTGGAAGGTTTTTAGACTTTGCTGGTATTTATTTGTACTTGTCAGCTGTAAACGTTGGTTTATGGGATTTAATTGCTTACTTAATGCACTGTATTACCGGAAGGTATGAATGTATGATTACTGAGATTTTGGATCTGGTGCAGTCGCAGAATAATTGGTAATACAGTACGTATATAAATATTCGAATCTACAAAACCTTTAGAGAATCCAGTACGTAAAACTTAATGCAGACCTCTTTGCACCTAAACCATAGCGTTTGAGCATCTCAGTATAAAATATCTACCGAGATTACCTGAGTACGTAAATTTTCTGAGTACTTATCCATAATGCTTTAAGTATTAAATTGTAAGGTCTAAAAATAGCGACACATGACAGCAAGCAATATTCGATTACTCGTCCTCCAATTTACACTACCACCGAAGCCTGCTTGCTACCTGGCAGACCGGAAGTACGCAGAAATGAAAGCTGAAAACAGCTTGTCGGAAATAGCTGCTTTCAGTGTTTTCAGCTGAAACTAGTACAGTAGAAGTTAGAATTAATTAATTGTCGTTAGACATTAGTCCACAATACATTAATAACCTTGTAGCCACGAACTAATCTGTAAATAAATTTAAAATACAGTGCAACAGAAAATTAAGATACTCTCTGTAGTCGGAAATCTTTATTATTTCATCAATAATTTTTAACCACTTTTGCCCTCCCGTTTCCCCTCTCCCCCACCATTGGCGGCTCGCTTCGCAACTCCATCGTCCTTGGAGCGGCGACTTGTACGTAGTACGGTAGCGTATCAAAAGCGTGGAGTGCATATGTTAGTTTAACACACACGTGATGCAAGCAGACTGGGTGGCGTGATCTCTGAATCCGATAGATCCTTTCGCTCACATCTCTTTTCCCCCACCTCTCCATTTAGCTTCAGTTACCTTTTAAAATTATTAATTTCATGACTTTCTTACGTTATTCCTTCCCTTTATCTTGGAATTATAGTATCTTGGACATAAATCTATGAATGAGTGACGGCTGTTACGCTCACAATGAAACCGTGGTGAGTCAGCCCGCAGCTAGACAGCATGACTACGATACGGCATCTTGTCTAGACTCTAGAGTAGACGAGTAACTATCGTCGGGTTCCTCTCGTCTGTTTCGCAAATCAGTCTCCAGGTCTGCCATTTATCGACACAATTAGCATTTGCCGTTTGCGGCATACTTGAAGTACTTCTACTTTAACTGCAAACAGTTGTTTCCTGTTTGGATACTGCAACGTGGAACATCTTTGCCAGGCGGCAGGAATTTCGGTGTGTTGAACGATGAATGATTTTATCGAGTTGGCAAGTGGCCAGCTGCCGGCCATTGGCATTGGTGCTGCAGCCATTGCGGCCACCGCTGGTGTTGCATATTATGTGAAACACCGGTCTCCGCCTATAGAAACCATTGTTCCTTTGGAAGAGCAGTCTCTTCCGGTTGGGGTAAGTCGCTTTTCTATCGTGCATTTCAGGAAAATCGTATTTCAACCGGGCGATGTTGCAACCAAGTCAGTATTAGTGAGTATCTTGGTTTCCTTGCGAAATTGCTGGTTTATGTGTTGATTAATAATTTTCAAACGTCGCCGTAATAACGCTGTAGTTAATTGAATTTAGCATTAGTGAATTAACATTTTCATAACGGAAATGGGCTGGGGTGGTGTCCGGAAGGCATTCTCATCCAGGAAAATCCCACGAACCCTTTTAACAGTGCGATGTTAAACGTGAAAGTGAAAATCGATCGATGATGGGAATGCTTTATTTACATTTTGTCTAATCTCCATGCTGGAGGAAAGGATTTTGATATGCACGTCGATAAACGAATCAATTCTCGAGTTTAAGCATTCGTCTTTATTAAATTGCTTTTGAAGTCTTAATAAAATGAATATCTTATTAATGAGGCGATTTCAGGAACGAATAATTTTGAGTAAACTAGTTGCTTTAAAATCTTGTTTGATTATTGTTATTTGGCTTCTTTAAAAAGCAGAGTTTGTGTTTTACAAAGTTTGTGTGCAATTCGTGAAACTTCCGAAACCTCCCGGCGAAGCCGGCTTTGCCCATATTGAAGTTTACCTAATATAGAAATAATAATTAGCAGTGCTTTTTAATTTCGTTGCAGAAGGACCGTTACTGCCGGGCATCTAAACTGGTCCCCGAAGGCACGTTTTTGGAATACTTTTACGAGGATGTGCGGACTGTGTACGATGTATTCCAACGTGGAATGCGGGTGTCCGACGATGGTCCATGCTTGGGTCGGCGTCCACCGGGAACGCACACTTACGAATGGATCTCCTACTCAGAAACAATCAAACGGGCCCAGTTACTCGGATCTGCCCTGATACATTTTGGCGTTAAACCGACGAACGATACATGTGTTGGAATTTTCGCTAAAAATCGCCCAGAGGTACTTAACTGTTATTGCTAAACGCGCAAACTGCAGAGACAATTTATTCCATATTTTACTTTTAATTTGAATATTCTAAAAACTCAATAGCACGAAAAGAATGTTGAGTATGTCGACTTCTTAACTGTAGAAAAAGAATTTTTGCGTGACACTTGAGTTCGTATCTTATTTCGTATTTGTAATTTCTGCAAACGGTTGATGGTGTTGTAAGAAGTGCATAGTGCATACTTTTATTTAATATTTCCTCGTAATTTCTTTCATTTTCAGTAGTTTATGATTCCTTTTAGTGGATAATTACGGAGCTGGCGTGTTACACATATTCGATGGTGTTGGTGCCGGTTTATGACACATTGGGTGTGGATGCGTGTGGACATATCATTTCGCAAGCGGAAATCTCGGTGATGGTGTGCGATAAGAATGAGCAGGCGCTGACATTGTTGAAATTGAAGGAGAAAGCGCCAGTTTTACGGCGAATAATTATCATGGATCCACCTTCAGAGGAAGTTATGGCACAAAGTCGAAAAGCGAACGTGCAAGTTCTCCTGCTTGAAGAGGTTCTAAAAATCGGACAAGATAACCTCATTCCCCCAAAGGTACGGCCATAAAATTTTTTTGACGATTACTCGTTATTGTCAACTTCATTACTCTAGCACGGACCGGCCATGCGGATGATTTTTCATGTATTGTTGCCTATGTCATCGCAGTTTATATTGTATCGTAGTAATTGTGTAGTTGTGTATTGTTTATTTAACAAACAGTTTAAAATTGAATATATTTTGTTATTGTGTTGTTTAATACTGCCATGCTTACATTTCTAGCCTGCAAAGCCAGAAGAAATCGCCACAATCTGTTATACCAGCGGCACCACCGGCACACCGAAAGGCGTCATGCTGACCCATTACAATGTTATGGCTGCGGTGTGCGCCACGATGAAACAGATTTCCCTGAAAGTCGGTCCACAGCTCGGTGATTCCATGTGTTCCTTTCTTCCTCTTAGTCATATGTTGGTATGAAGCTTAAACTTTTTTAAGGTTCTACAATTTTTTAACTTGTTCTCTGTTTGCTTTTAGGAGCGGTGTTGTGAGGTGAGAAAAATTTTCACAAACGTTTGAAAGTGGTTCCAAACTTCGAATACTGGGTTGGTGGCATATTGCTTCCGGTTTCTCTTGCTATAATCACCTAAAGAATGATCGTCGCGCTGAGCCAGTCAATTTCAAAAGGCATAATTATGTCGTACACAAACCTGTGCATTACAGATAGGTATTGGGATTCAATTTGACGCACTATTTGCAAGCTGTTGGTGGTCGAAAAAATAGTGGGGGTTTTTAGCGTCACAATCACGCCTTTCTCGTACTATTAGACGGCCATATACATGGAAGGCGGAAGGGTTGGCTTCTACAGCGGGGATATTCGGAAAATCAACGAGGATATGCAGGCGCTGAAGCCCACGTGTGTTGTAGTAGTTCCGCGGTTGTTAAACCGTATATTTAGTGCCGTTACCGGAAAGGTTAAAGGCTCTTGGACAAAGCACGCTTTGCTTACCATGGGAGTGTGGTTCAAAGAATGGGATCTGCAAAAGTAAGCGTGATTCAAATTTTAACTTTCTTTGACGAGATTCTTCGCAAATATTCGGGGATGTGTGCTAATTGGAGGTTGATCGCTGTTGTACTCGAAGCTAGTGACATTACGACGTTATTACCTACTAAAATCCTTTGGATTATAATACCTTTTGCTTTATGAATCTGGATGTGAATTTTGATTATCGGTTGATTGTCAATATTAGAGTGAAATTAGCTAACGCGACGGAATTTCCATCTATCGAATAATTAATGGGTTTGTTTGTCCGCAGTCACATCATCAGCCGTGACACTGTCTGGGATCAGTTAATGTTCAAGAAAGTGCAGGAACAATTAGGAGGAAATTTGCGGTTTATGGTTGTCGGAAGTGCCCCGCTATCACAGAAGGTATTACTGATTTCCTTATTAAAACGGAAGCCTTCATGCAGCATCAAAGGAACTGTTGTTGTGGTTTTACCAGGTTTTACGATTTTGTCGTGTGGCCTTCGGCTGTTCCATTATGGAAGGGTACGGTCAAACGGAAGCCGTCTGTCCCATTACGCTTACCATACACGGTGACGTGTTTCCAGGTGTGTGCAGCGTTAAGAAACGTGCCGTAAGAAGAAGTCGAAAGCTAATGAAATGCATCAATTTGAGTGTACTGCATTTTGTTAATTGTATGTGACTAGCTAATCAAATGCATGATTTTAATTGTAATTCATTTTATTTAATCGCAGGTAATTTCATTGATCTTATTTTGGCTTGCTTTATCCAGAGATTACGGAAGGCGGCGCTGGTCATGTGGGGCCACCTGTGCCCTGTTGTATGGTTAAGCTGGTCGACGTTCCGGAAATGAACCTGATCGTTAATCGGGATGGGTCGGGCGAGGTGTGCATAGATCGAATAATTATCTTACAACCTAATTTACTGAAGGAGTAAAAGATACGTTATGGTTTTTGCGTAACGGGAGAATAAGTAGATTTTGTGGTTGTCCGTATTGATTATTGACTGTAGTGCGAATTTTGTATGCGTTTCTCTGGCGCAGATCTGTGTAAAAGGAGCGACCGTCTTTCAAGGCTATTACAAGGAACCGGGGAAAACCGCGGAAGTTTTGGATGCCGATGGCTGGCTCCATACCGGTGATATCGGACTGTGGACAGAAAACGGCTGTCTGCGCGTAATTGACCGTAAGAAACACATCTTCAAGCTGTCTCAAGGAGAGTACATTGCACCGGAAAAAATCGAGTCGGTGTACCAGAAAAACCAGTACGTTGGACAAGTTTTCGTCCATGGAGACAGTCTTAAAGTAAGAATAGTCATTCTACTGCTTCTTCTTCTTCTTTCTTTTGTGTGTCGATCAAGTGGTTTACCTTTTACCAGTACCTGATATGCTTAATTACATGTAATGCTAAATTAATAAATTAGTTAATTTTATATGGACACAGTGAATTGGAATGAAATTGTGCGATAAACAAAGATTTACGTTTAATTTTTGCAGTCTTGCTTAGTGGGAATTGTTGTTCCCGATGAAGATGCCTTGAAACGATGGGCAGCCGCTGAAGGGATGAAAGGCGATTCTTTTAAGGATTTATGCCAGAGTTCCAAAGCGAAGAATATGATTCTCAAAGAACTGACGGCAGAAGGCAAAGCCGCTTCACTCCACTCATTTGAACAGGTGTGTTTTTCTGATTATTTGAAACTTCATTTACGTTTTGCAGCGACAGTTTTTACTGTAGGTAAAAGATATTCTTCTCCTTCCGGAACCGTTCAGTGTGGAGAATGATATGTTAACTCCGACGCTGAAGACGAAACGAAATGAGATTAGGAAATCCTTCGCACAAAAACTGTCCGAGATGTATACAAATTTGGATTAGTGTAATTGTTATTCGTCAGTGGACATTTTAGAGGATTCTCATCGCTAGTCGCTTTTGCGTTCCTAATTTTAGTGTGATCGTAATGCGGATGTCGTCTGCACAGGCTGTATTACCGGTAATATTCTGCGTTAATAAGCTAAACTGTTGTTGTTAATTTATTAAGTTCCCGTTTGCTAGTTTAGTTTGAAAGGGTTTAATTATTGTGATCACGGTTAACGTTAATTAATAACCAGTTAATATCCATGCAAGTGCTGCTACAAGGATGAAAATTAATGCATTAAAACGAGGATGCATCCGTTACTGTAATTATGCTTTGATGTAAAACGCACATTAATAATTTAAAGCTGCGTTGGTACGAGTATGGCTTTCAGGAAACTGAAAATGAGGAAATTGATTTCGTAGGAAATTGAAACAACCGGTAAACAAACGTATGTGTATAGTGGCGTATTTTTGATTCATAAAATGGTTTATTACGCAATATATTGACATCGATGCGATGCAAAATAAAACATTCTGAACATAAAGTTCAAAGTCACAAGATAAAGAAAACTTCTACTGATATTACATAAGAATCACTGGAAAAAATCTCGAAATGTGCACTTTATGTCTCTGTGACGGATCCTGTGCCTTGGTTTCTGGCCTTCACTGTACAACATTGCTGGATGCGGACTGGCAGTGTATTTTGCAGTCTTCCTTGGTTTCAAACCGATTGCTGTTGCCTTCACATCCGCCATAAAGCTAAAGAAAAAAAATTTAATTATCCATTGCATCCAGTTAATGCTTCACTAGTTTGTTTTTTGTACAAACGAAAAAAGTAAACGAATGAATGTTTATTTTTTAGTTGCAGTTACTTTAAATGCGTAAGATGCACACAATTAAACCGCTATTTTTCTTTAGGATTAGTCTTTAAAGGTCACTTACAAAATATTGGCATTCCCTCGCTGTGGAATTATAGAAGTACGCTTCGAAAGCTGCTTTGCATGGACCAGTTTCGGCTTCAAGTGAACAATCGACCGGTCCTTGTGTACCTGCATTTATGGAGAACCAAAAATAACTATTTTTTCAATCAACTTCGATCAAGATTCAGTTGATTAGTATAACTGATTGGAACATGTTTATACGAGTACTGTATGTATGGTTATTAAGTCTTCTGCGGTTTGAATGGCAACGTTTTGCTGCATATGTGAGCAAAATTAATATGAGTTGCAGTTTTCAAACACTTTGATAAAGAACTGTAGTAAAATAAAGATTATGTAATAAAATAATAGGTTTCTTTTGGACTAATGTACGTACGTACAAAGGCTCTTTAATTATATTAAGTTTCACAAAAGCATAGCTCATGAGCAGTTTAATACTGTTACGGTAAAAGCTAAAACACTTGCCTCCAGGCACAGGAGGAACGTTGGTGGAATTGGAAGAGTTCGCCTGGGCATCGGATGCAGAGATCCGTACGAAGGGTGTGGCAAGAACCAGGGCATAAGAAATCAGTACAAAGTATAACGGGATCATGGAATCCATTTTTTAATATAGGAGGATACCAGCAAGAACTGGAGGTTAAAAGTTTATCAGCAGGGTGCAGAAAAACTTTCCAAATTAAAATTTCCTTAGCAATAAATAGCGGATTTATGCCGGCAGTTTAATTATGAAGGGAAGAGTTGCATAAAGTTATGACGCCAGATTAAATCGTCGGCGGCAGCTGTGCTTTATCAAAAAGGTATAGATGTTTTAACGGCGGTAAATATATAATATCTCAGTCAAAACATTCACGAGTCGGCTTCACGTTTGGCACAAGGTGGGAGAAAATTAAATCACGGTATGAGGAAATGAACAACGAAGGCTGCCCGCATTTTCGACTTAAATGCCGGTATTTACGGGCGGAAACGGAATATGTAAACTTCATGGTACACGAATGTTGTTTGTCCGGTGGAGTTTCGACGTACACTGCGCCTGACTCACTTATCTTTATCGCATATTTCACCGGTTAAACCGTAATATAAGCTCTTTTTAACGGCTCTACAAAGTTACAGCTCAAGTGTTTATCTGGATATTTTATGCGCAACAGTAAAATTTTTGTGTCGTATGCTGTCCGAGCAAAATTTCACTTTGTGCTACACTATGCCGAATGCCGTGGATATGTGGCACGTTCCAAACCATATCAGCCATACCAGTTAATTAAGCGAAAAAAAAACAGGAAATTGGATACTTTCGGAAAATCCCGGCGTTTTTCGTTGAAGTAAAAAATTTGATCGTCATTGTTATTTATATAATCCAGTATTCATGCAAATGTACACAAAACACTCTAGATGAATTGAGCGTTGCACAGTATTGCTGTGTTAGTATGATAGCAAAAATTTATCAGTTACTGTAACACGGTACGTATATAAAAATAAGTCAGCGTCAGTCCTGGAAAAGTCACCGATTTTATTTACGCTCGAAGTTTCGCGTCGAATATTTTTATGGAACATTGGTAAATCTTTTCTTTAAAATCTGGATCTCATAGTATGCTGCATGCATTTAATGCATGATATGCGTACGTTCATATCTATATAGTTACTGCAGTGACCCAACAAGATAATAAATTTTTAGCACAATTTTTTCAGCATTTTTATGCAAATTATTCGGTGCAATTCAGGCTCGCATTTAAGTAAATTAATGCCATAAAAACTGATTCCTGGTTTCTCGACAAAAAAATTCCAGACGGAAGGTGATCGTGTCGCAATCTATTAAGACAAATTTGCCATTGACGTCTGTGCACTTGCTATTATTCTAATCCGTCGTCCACTCCATAGCCTCTACACGGCGAATAGTCTGAACTGCCGAAAATAAATCCGGATTAAATTTATAAACCAATCTCTGATCCCCCCATCCAGCCGGCACTTGATGTACGATGAGGACAAGCGATGCCCTTACGAGTTATAAAGTGATTCCTTCTGCAATAACTCTTAACTAATTGCTACTCTGTTCCCTGACGCAACTGCACCACGTCATCAGCAGCCCAACGAAAACGTGCCATCTTCAATTGAGCCGGCGTCCATTGTCGGAAGAGCTGTGTGTGTGGATATATATCGATCGCATCGCACTCCCGCGGACTACTACAAAGTGCGCTGTGCAGGCCGCACGCGCCGGGATTTTTAAGGACCCGGCACATTTATCCTGTACCCGTCGGATTTTACTAACTTCATCGTTAGCTGTCGTCACACACGGGATCGGGATGTATGGGAAGAATGGGACAAGAGCGCACATTAGGGATCTATAGAAGAGGCGCCGGTACGGTGCAGTCACGATCAATAATGTAATAAGCGGGCATACTGTGGCACGCGAAGCTCATATTCTACCATATGTGCTGACTGCTGAGTGATATGTGCACTAAGCATAGAATATGAAAAATGAACCAGCACACATTGTGGCATATTTGTTACCTGCAAATAAAACATCACGTCATACGACAGAGGCTGACGACAGCGATGAAGAGGGATTTCGTTACCGGATGTGCCGGCATTGTTATATAAAACAAAACCCCATAAATAATTCAGATCATTCCTTAGGGGGTCCAATTACACTGCACATGAAATCTTCCAAAATTATAAGCGTATCCTAACTGCGTAAATTTTAATTTTTTGTATCTAACCGGCCTAGTGCACAATTTATTTTAACACTATTTGAAGATCGATCATACAGCTGTATTTTATAAACATATATAATTGGATGCGTGACAGTATTTAGTCTATCATCATCAATTTATAATCAAACTGTGACACCACTAAAATCCTTCGATTATTATTAACAAATTATAACACTAAAGCGATTACAAATGCTAATTTATTCTTTGATTTGTTAGCGTGATGTTATAATTCTTTTGCTCTTTATGTATAACAGGAGTTTATGCATCAGATATAAGTCATACAGCATTTGTTGTAATTATTTGCGACATACAGCCTTATAAGCAGCACCGCGATTGTTTTAATTACGCTAAAAGAATGTACCGGCTCCGAAGCACCGAGTATAACGACAAGGTCACACAAAGAAAGGACAACATTTCAAAGTATGGTATTCAGGGATCCGTTCAACTAGCGTTTTTGCTCCTGCTCCCGCGAATGTGGGGATTACGAAGAGGTCTACACACCCAGAGTATACACAGTGTGTTTAATCAGCTCCAACCGGGCGCCGCCTCTTTGACGTCGGATCACATGCAGTGTATCCGATGGAGAGAGCGTTGGTGCGCTTGACGCACAACTAACGGTATACCATAACAGAGAGTGAGCGATTGTACTCACGTTTTCGCGTATCTTCCGTTAGTTCCAATCATTTATCTGTTGTATTGGAACACAACGGTTTACTGTTGTCATTTACCAATTCGACAATCCGGATTTTGAACGAAGAATACATTAAGCATACACAATAACGTTAACCATGGACACCCTATTACGGATGACAATACTGTTGACATCCGTTGTGTACTCCTTGGCTGTCAGAGTGGATCGTACGCCAATGCTTATGCCAGGAGCCGCGCCGAAATCGGTAGGGCAGAAATTTTTTTCTAGCCATATGGCGACGCTGCGGATGGACAAGACACTAACTGACCTTTGTCCTTTCAGGCTGATACGTATTTGTGCTATGCGATGAAACTCAACGGGAATGTCAATCAAAATTTAGGTGAGTTAATTTCCCTTCGACTTTGTTCTTATATTAATTATAATTCATGCAAAATCATTATATCATCTTAATTGATATACAAACTGCAGTTAATTTCTGGGCCGTAAAAAATCCGGGTGTAAAATATACTGTATAATGATTAATTCTCTCACTGGTAAACGGATTGTGGTTAACTGCAGGCTTTCGATGTAGTGTAGTGGCTTACAACTGGTCCAGGAATGCAGAATTGAGAATCTTAAATTCTGTTACAGCAGATCTCACCAGAGTCTCCTTGCTGTAGACATCAATTCATAAATTTTTTTACGGCATAATGCTACACTTAATAAAACATTTACAGATCGACTGTATTAAGCAATAAATTTTGATTTAAATAATTTCTTTAATAAATGCACGAAATGACATTTTGCAAATTAACACGGTCGGAAGACCTCACGGTTCTGCTAAATTAATCGATAAATTTGGTTATTTAATTAAGCATCATCACTTTCGATAATATGTGCGTGTTGGTAAATACTCACCGGTATGTAATTTTTTGATCGTCACTGCGGATGACTGCGCTCACGCATACAACAGCGGCGTCGCCTGAGGTCACCCGTCACGGGACAATTCACCTCACAATGCAATTAAGGAGATTACGTGCGCTGACGCTGTCGCTGCATATTTACCCGTAACACTACGCTACAATTATACCAAATGTCTGATGTATATGTTTTTCAGTTGGCTTCCTCCCCAATGTCTCACACTCCGTGCATCATATGATCCTGTACGGCTGCCCGGAGCCGGGTAGTCAGGAGCGGGTGTGGAATTGCGGCAGTGAAATGCAGATGAAGCATGCGGGACACGATGGTATGGCGGATGAGCAGATGGACATCAGTCCGGTATGCCAGTCCGATGAGAAGATCCTGTATGCCTGGGCCCATAATGCGCCCAACTTCGAGCTACCGGAAGGAGTGGGCTTCGAAGTGGGCGGCAATACGCCCATCCAGTACTTGGTTGTACAGCTGCATTACAACGATCTGACGGAGGAGTTCAAAAGTATGTAAAATATTATTGTACAAATAAGTCTAAAAAACACATAAATTACTTTTACTCTTATTCAAATTAATGAGCGTATATATATTTCTTTATTAATCAGTTTTGTCTAAATCCGCGCATACGTTGTAACCTCCGTAACTTAACGATGCGCACTACCGTTATTTAAAACAAAACATGTTAACTCAAAGCACACGCAGTTAACCGTTGTATCTTAGTTAAAATTGCTCAGGCTACGTATATGTAAATATTTCCGTTTTGAAATAATTTATGTGCATGCATTTACGTCTTACTGTGCTAGTCATGGTATTAAAGTAACCGTTGCGCCCTTTACAAAATTGTATGCAATATCACGACAAATTTTGTGTTAATACCAATATGTGAAGCTGATTTAAATTGTACTCCATATACGCCCATTGAAATTTAAAATCAAGCATCAGTGTGCTAAATGACGAGTGTGCTGACGGGTAATTTATAATTTGCAGAGGGCAAGAAAGATCATTCCGGATTAACCTTATTACACACTATGGACGAGTATGTACTGTACTTCTATTTATCAAAGAATGCCAATTTTAATTACTGAGGAAATCAATACTAATGTTTTGGAATCAAATTTTATAAGGACGATGCCTGAATGACGTCAAAGGACATAACAAACCGATATTTTTAGTAGTGTAACGTGTGTAAGGTCGCTAATTAACTAACACTATTTTCTTTCGGCACGCACAGACTTCCGCGACAAGCCGGAGTGATCGTGATGATGTCGAACGGAAGAGTTCCCGCAAAACACGACGGTAAGTGGCCGGCACCTTTAGGGCGTGTCAAAAACTTTATTGTTCCGCGCATAATCTTCTTCAGTACACCCCGTAAATCCGGCTTTATAAATAGCATATAATTACTTAATCAACAAAAGCGCGACTACAAAGCAATGTTGTCAGTATGACCTTTTGTGGACTCTTTCAAATCTCATAGGATTATACTGCAAAAAGACTTGAAATCGTTCACCCTTCTTTTATTGAATCAAAAACACGAATTAAAAAGATGACTCTAAAATGAATGCAACACCAAATAAGCACGTGATGAAGATTGTAATCCTCATCTTGTTGGTGTAACGTTTGGCCTGCATAAACACTGTACATAAGGATGACCTTTATGTGCTGCACAGGTATAAAGCGTGCAAAACATTACTCAATTCTATTAAATTTGTTTGTTATCCGCTTATAAATTCATTTATACCATACACACAAGAATGACCTTTATGGAAAGTATAATATACTTACGCAGATAAATTTCTTATGATACAGAAACAGTGGACATTGCCTGCCCGTTGATGGAATACTCGGAGCTGCACCCATTTGCCTACAGGACACACACCCACACACTGGGACGTGTAGTGAGCGGATATGTCATTCAAGATGGAAAATGGCAACTTCTAGGCAAACGGGATCCGCAAACGCCCCAGGTATAAAGTGCGCGCACGTACATCAGCATATGCCGGGCTGCTTTTCTACATAGAGCAGCATCATTAAATTGAATTACTTATGAATGGAAATGGGAGAAACTTGTTTATCCAAGTCCGACGTCCCGTGCTTTTCTTGGGGATTTTATTTTTGGCTATACTGTTTATCCGGAATTGCAGATGTTCTATCCGGTGGCCGATGATAAATTAGTTATCAAACCCGGTGATACGTTGGCGGCCAGGTGCGCGTATTCGAACCCGTCCGACCATGATGTTAGCATGGGGTGAGTCTAACATGAGTCTAATCATGCTAATCCATGTAATGGAATTTCACCCACACCCGTCAATTTGCATAGTGAGGATATTTTTGGTATTCTTTGTAAAATGACTGCACGAGCAGTATAATTCCAGTAATACTCCTTTCACGTTTAATTTAACGTAAAGACCACTGTAAGTTGTACAGGTAATAGCGATTTCAGTTGTGCATACGCACGTGATACTTTTGCAGACTTTTTGTTAAAGAGCAGTTTGTAAAGCATAAACACGTTTAACGTACGTTAAACGTCCGTTATACAGACGCGTCTGTATAAAACAGCGCTTATGTGGAAAATCAATAAAACCGTTGTCAACAAAAATGGAACAGTTTAAGCTTAAGAATATTATTACTAATAAAAAAATATAACTACAAACGTAACGTAATTTTTTGAACATTTTTGTTATATTTTTGTAGAAGCACAATGAACGATGAGATGTGCAATTTCTACTTGATGTACTGGACGGAAGCACCCTACTCGCCCATTGAACAAGACAGTTGTGTTTCCCTGGGACCACCGTACGTGTACTGGGAAACGTTTGGCCTGAAAGACATTCCAGCCGACAGCACTAAGCTCTGAGTAGTAGAAAAGGAGATTACAGCAGATGACCTTTCCGATTAACAAACCCGCTCGCTCGTCATGCATTGCAAAGTTTTCTATCCGCCATTCTGATCTCCAGCAGGCAGTGATCTAGTCAGACTTTGTTACGTTGTGTATACCTTCTAATTCTGTTACATGCTGTTAAAGCGCCACATTTTTTTCTGGGGGAGGATGTTCTTTCTATTAGAGTGATATATCAGACCTATTGACAACGATTTTTAATTAGTATTGGCATCGAACAACGACGAATAAATTGTTGTACGAATACCTGCAACCAAAGCCGGTTTGACAATTAAAGCCCGCCTAAATTTCTTTAAGCCGACAATAAAGCCCACTTAAGAAATGGTATTTTAAATCGCGCTACAAATGACGCAAACCTACCAACACGTACAACTGTGTTAATAAAATTCTTTGTGACGTGCTTTCAAAAAAGACATTACTGCTAATCAGACAAGGAAGCGCTGTCGATCGGAAACACTTCGCCCATTTCTGGTTGCTTCATTATAAGCCGGCAGTGTAGAAGCGCCGGATGCCGGTACAGGCGCTAATCCAAACACTTCGCGGCCATTAAGCACACTAATACTGCCAGAGGAGGCAGCACGTGCTGGATGAGATGTTTCCGCTGTTGATGGCTGCAGGGAGAGTTTTTTAAATTTCTCCTTAGCCCGGATAACGGCTGTAGGAATGGTTAAGCGGCTGAGATTCTCCGGCTGGGTGGGCTGTTCGTTGTGGATGTCGACGGTATCGTTAGCCATATGCCGGATGACATCGTTCAGAATCATGACCTTTCGGGCTACGGTTTTAAGGGTTTTGGGCGCTTCGTGCGGGTGCGCCGGAATATGGTGGGAACCGCGACGCCCCGCTGTGCCTTTGCCTGGATCACGGTGTTCTTCCGGTGGAAATCCGCGATTCTTCATTTTATCCAGCAGATTAAGCGCTGTAATAATTAATGAGAGTAAATTTCCACATAGCTTTTGTGGAACCAAACGACCTGAAGAGATAATTGAGGCATGTGAAAAAAGTAATTAGGCAAATCGGCCAACGGTATTTCGCAAAAAGAGTTAATTTTTTATTGTTTCCAATAATGTACCTCCTCAACAGTTAATACATAACGATGCTGTATTAAGTGCAATATCACGACAGTACTAAATGCTCATGCATAACTGACGTTAATAAAGCAAACGAAACACCGTGCACTGAGTTTAAAAATAATTACCAATCGGAACAATGTTGAAACATGAAACCTGAATTTTTTTGGTTTATTGTTTTGCATGGAAAATTTGCAGATTAAATATTTAAAAAGCAGTGCATGATTCGGTTACCATTTTCTTTGGCTTCATCTATGGTAACTTCCAAAACTTCGGACGCGCTTGTATCGCCAACGGTTTTAAAATGCTTTCGCTTGGCCCGGGCTTCCACCTGCGCCATCATTTTACGGCGTTCTTCCGTGCGTTCCTAGCAAAGAAAAAGATCAATCATACAATAAAAATGCAGGCACCACTGGTGCAACCTTCATGGTTGGTTGGCTTACAATGTCCAGTGTTCGCTTGAGATCATTGGTCTTCTTCGTCAGTGCCATGCCCATGGAGAACAAATAAAATATGATGATACTGTAGAAAAACCCCGATCGATAAACCACCCGCGCTCATGATTTCATTAAAGTGATTTATGCACTTAAAGGTCATGCATATCCGGTTAAGTTGAATCACTATAATGTGCCGGCTTACAGTAACAAAACCACCAACGGAATGATTAATCCCGGTGAGCCCACGTAGGCGACGGCTTTGTCAACGCCATCCGACCAATTATTCCCGATGGTATCCGTAACAACTTCATACATCTTGTTATAACGACTGAATAAGCACAAAACGCATATTCATATTTTAAGAGACCGATCCCGGTTAACATTATGGATTGCCGTATAATTGTGCCTCACCTGAATGGACCACAATGCCAGGATGGATGCAAAATACACACGGTGTATCCAATAAAAAGTGTGGATACAAAGAGCATTAAGAGCAGGATGAAGTAGTAGAAATTATTACCGGTTCCGGTACTGAACATGGTCTCCGGTGGCACATCACAGACCCGTGTTGCCCACACACGGAAATACATTAAGAACACTAAGCGGATGAGATTTATTGGTGCTAAAGCGGGCGAAAAAAAGAAACCAATCCTGTGAATAAAAACCCAGTTACATATAATACTCGCGCTATATTTTCTGCAACAAAAAATTGCAAAAATTTAACTTACAAAAAGAAATTAAAGTGTTATGTATACGTAGACATTATAAGAATACCGTGAGCAGGAAAATCTGGAAGCATGATTCCAGCATCGTAAGAAAAAATTCTTGAATAATAAATTGCATCTATAATTTGCTATCGTACAAATTTTGATAAATCTGATAAAAATATTTTGAACTTTCATTATTTTACTGATATTTTTACCAAGTCATCTGTTGCCCGACAATTAAACTCAGCACATTTTCTGACACAGTAAACGGCGCGTATCCCGGAAACCGCTCCAGATCCCAGAACCAGCAGCGTGTCATAAACCGGACAAAGATCCCACGGAAGAATTCTTTGGCAAAAACTTCTACCACATTCATCACGGACTCCGTCACCAAATTCTCGAGGCCTTCCGCCGCTACACGATTTTCCCAGCACAGTGCTTTCAGTTTGTCAATAGTTAGCGGCGGAGGGGGTACGGGGCTCGTGGTAGCCGGTGTGGTGGTTGGGCGGGGCGGGAGACTGCGCGTCGGCCACAGCCACGTGCCGTTAATTAACACCCGGACATCCGGCGTGGTCACGTCGTCGGGATGGAAGCCCTGCCCGGCAATTATGCGTGGAATATCGTAATCATATTCGTACGGTGCAATGCTGCTCCCTTCCGGTTCCTTGTTGTGCTGTATAAAAATCATTCAAATTAAAATAGGCTTTTACAATACCTAGAGTATCTGTTTAAGTGAATGAAAACTATAAAAGTTCTATTCTGCAAATAAAACAATTTTTGTTTACCGTAGAACAAAATTAGAAGAGAACAAGGAATTCATTTTAAACGAATTCTTACTCAATAAGCCACAATTCTTGAAATCAGATATCATGTTTGATTTCCTAAATTTTGGCTTATATTTAAAAAAATTCCTTTAAAGTTTTTTGGCGGTTTATAAAAACAAAACTTTTATTACGACTCAAATTTTTTATGATTGATTCGATTTACAGTTTCGCTTACAGTTGTTTTGCTGCGTATGTTTTGTTTTCGATAGTTAGAATTCATTAGATTTTCTGCTTCTGAAAAATGAAATAAGTCCCATTTCCAACCTCTGTTCCACTTGAGTTCGTTAGATTTTCCGAAACATTTTCCTGTCCTTCAGTTTCCCCAACAGGCAACTCATCACCCAGTGAAACATCTGGTTTATGCTCGCTTTCCGATGAGGAAGTTGTGCCCTCCAAGTGATCCTCCGTTTCGTCTTCAACGTTCCACGAACCATCCACCGGGTTTTCTTCGGCCAAAGCGAAATTCGGCTCCACTGGCTTAGCAACATGTACATCCTCCGGCGATACTTCCGGCTCCATTCCGCTGCTTTCAGACGTATTCTCTTCATCCCGAGACGGATCCATCATGATGTTCAGTGGAAACAGCCACATCGTACTGACCGGGAAATATCAGATTGCTGACCATGCTCTCTATGTGACGGGTTAGCGTGTGATGCAACCGGCGTGCCATGGCCAGTTGGTGCTGCGTGACCCGAGGAAGGGCTACCGTGTGCACCAGCCGGCGCACCATGGTCGCTGGCTGCCGCTGAGTGGCTGGAATCGGCGCTACCATGACCGCCACCATGATGCTCCTCTGGGCGGCTGGTCTGCGTCTCCCAGTTGACTGGCCGTGGCACACTGCTGTTCCATATCCACGAGAGGTCGTCCTTGTTAAATTCGGTCGATTCATGGTACTGTGAAGACAAGCATAGTGATTTCTAAACCTGAACTTTTGATGACGATATTTACCTTTCTCTGCGTTCGTACAATCACGTACATTACAGTACGAGTATTTCAAAAACAAGTCTGATTGCTCTCATTAGGTACGAGGCATTATAAAAAGGTTTTAACACATATCTAAAACTGGAGTTATACTAGTACATATTGTTATAAAAAGATTATGAACAAAATGATACAAAGGAAATTTTTTTATATGCTCGTTATTTCGCTGTTTCGTTGTTGGGATATTTTAAGGCGAGTGTTGCACTATATTGTTAATATCAGTATAGAACACCGGGAAAATTATTTACTTAAACCGACTGACCATTTCCTCTCCTTCCGTGACCCAGTTATCAATTAGCGCCCAGTTCACCAGCAACTGCAACAGCGTAATCCGCGTAAGATGCAGTCGCAGTCCGTTCAGTGGATGGTATTCCTCCAGATACTCCAGTCGCTCAAATAGTTCCGGAAAGATAATATTTTGCGCCTTCAGCGTTAACGACACCGCGTTGGTCTGCCAGAAGGTTTTGGGTATTTCCGGTTTCAAACTGCGCTTATACCCCATCACCTGCAGTAAGATGAACACACTGGCCGTCAGCAAACCGATGGTGATGATCCAGGCAAAGATGCGCAGGAATAACCGAAGCCATTTATTTTCCTGGCGACAAGCCGCAGAACTTTGATAGCGCCATTGTCAGCTGGGTTAGCGATCATGTAGTCCCAACTACAGAAAACCCCGGCACTGAACGGATGCTGGTCGCCGTCCGATGTGTTGGCGCTCAGCCGAACGTTTGTGGCCATTCTGGAAATTTATGAAAATTGTTATATTATTATTAGTTTTACCTTTATCTGAGTCGAATATTCCGGCTCGTACAGGAGAAGACAAACTCCACAAATCACATTTCAAACGCCACATAATACATTCTAGAAAATTCAGAACACAAATTCCTGTAAATGATTTATGTCGCTACACCATTCATACATACGTATAGCTGTTTTTTTCTAGGTTATTTGCTAGCGGTTGCTAATTCAGGAAATTTGCCAAAAAAAATTCGGAAAAAGCGGCTTTCGTACGTAAATACTATCGTTACACTGTCTTGACTTCCGTTCTTTATATAATTACACGAAACAGTTTTATTTCTGTATTATACTAATAATCAAAGCATACTTGGCAAGAATGACCCAAAAACTGTAAATGAGGATGGCCATGGCTGTACAGAAATATGCCAATGGTAAGCGGTATCCAATTTTGAACTGCGGTTCATCCGAATAATACCCATAGTATACGGGTGTGTAAAAAATATAGCCGGCATAACGGTATAAAGTGGCAAAATCCAAAGCGGTTTTCCCTTCATTGGAACTTATCGTGTTGCGGAATGTGGTGCCTTGATCTGGACCAAATAGAATTTGTGGCAGCATCACCGCACACGTTACACTGGCAGCAATCATCAGGTTCATGCCGATCATCCATCTAAAAGTTAGTTATTATTCCAAAACTACTAACAAGAAAAGTTCGCATTATCCAAAAAACGAAGTCGTAAAAAATTTAACTTCAAATCTTATATACCGAAACAGAATTTTAAAAGTTTTGTATTTATGTAGCTTTTTAAGAAATTATTAGACAGAAATACCAACTGCCGGTATCTCGCACCTCAAGAAAATGAAATAAGATGCCCCGGCTGATCCAAAGCGATTTTCCACAGTCTTTATCCTTTCTTCCCATGGTCGCATATTCGCCAAAGCATTGTTGATTACGCGCCGAGCAGTTTTGATGAACTGTACCCAAGTAAACATTACAAGATAGTTAGGTAAGTCATTTCTGAAATCAATAAAAATCAATAGTATTCTGGTAGCGATAATTATTGTGCCGGATGTGCAATCGGCCAATATTTGTTTAAGGTTTGTTTCGCTTCCTGTATTTACCTTTGTCACGTTGGCCACGTTAGCCTTTCCTTTTAGGTAACGTCCTTCATAACGTTCCACATAGGCATGAGCAATCCTAACAGGTAACAGCATAACTTATTTCACTTCTTATAACTTTTAAATAAACAACACCGGATAGAATTTTACCGGTAAAGTTTGAGTTTGCGTCGCAGCCTCCACGGCTGTTCGCGAATTTTTCCCAGGATGTCTTTTTGGGTTTTTAAGTTTTCTCGAATTTTTTCTTCATCCACATCAAACATTGGATGCGCATACAATCCAAGATAATCAAATTCTTCCCTGAAAAATATTACCTGCATCAACCGCGAATTTCAGTGTTTAAATAGAACGAAATCGTAATTTTCCAAAGAGTTATTTAAGAATTTAAAAAAAAACAATGAGCGTAGGGTAAACACTTATGGGAGTGGCCAAGACGTGAAAATAAACAATAAAATTTTCATAACTGATACCCGTCGTGTAAGGACTGCCGGATATCTGGCTCCAAACATTCGATAAAGGTCATGGGCTCGTTATCTGAACTGGTCGTAAGCGTACTGCTGCTGCCGGAAGTTTGTGAGCTACCGGTAGACGATGATAACGATGTCTGCGATTTAGCTGAAGGATCTTGCTCCAAAGAATTTCGATGAAGTTCGGGAACATCGTGCTGTGATCGAGGGGATTTCGCTGCGTTTAACGATGGCGTTACGGATATCTGACCATCACTAATCACAGAAAGTAAGGAACTGCGGTCGGATTCGGAGCTTTCCACATGATCTTGCGTCACAAGCCGCTAAAAAATGAAATTGTGCATATTGCATACATACTTGGGAACTTTCTATAGATTCATATTTGCCATTACAGTATACGAAGAAAATTATTGGGATCACCTTTACATTTCACGCCAATACCAAGTAAAAACAAAATTAGTGGTTTAAAGTTTGTCAGCTGACGTAGACAAAAATCAACCTGTCGACATCGTGTACATAAATTTTTAATTGTGTAATTGGCTAAGATATTCTTATAATTATTTTTGTGTTATTTATTATTAATTTCAAGAAAACCTCGATCAGAATTGGGAGGAGATAATGATATCGGGCTCCGATTACATTAGCCGGACTGCGCAATCGGCCAAAAAACTTACCGCTCCGGCTCGACCAACAACGCGGTGAACCGCTGCTGCTGCTGTAACGGCACCAGCAATGCTCATATTATTGTCATCGCGTGTCCGCGATACATGCTCGTTAACCGGATTTTCCGTATGGTCGAGGTTACTTCGTAATAAACCATCCATATCTGAATTATGGGAGAAAACATTGTGATTTCCGGCCCTAGCGGCGTAATCTGTAGATGTGGATGACAGGGAACGACTATCCGGTAAATTATCTTGAATGTCCCGTAACTGTGCTTCGTTGGGGATAAACGGTACCGCTGAACGCGGTATACCGCGGTGGCGGTGCAGTTTCGCATTGCCAGTAGTGAACGGTTCCAGAATCTCCGGAACGCGTTCCAGATGATGTTTCCGGTTGGGAAACATGGTGTTCTTCCACGGTAGCCAGTAGCGACAAACGTTCTTTGAACTTTTCTTGTCGGCGCTGCTTTAATAATGAACTTCCTCAAATTCTTATAGGTTACAACTCAGCACCGGAATGCATCACACAGACCCCAAAAATTCGTACGGTTTGTGAATCTCTAAATATGTGTATCAGTGTATGCCTTGATAATCGATCGGATATTTATGCAAAGGAAATCAATGACAATCAATGTGCAAGTGACTCGGTGAGTGCTGAGGATAGTTAAACAAATTCGTATCTGAACGCTGCGCTCAGAATAACACAAAACCTAATAAATTACAAAAGTAAAAGTAAAAATTTTGCACTGGACTCTTTACTGTTCGAAGATCGCGAAAAGTGTAAAAAAAATGCGAAGCCCGGGAGTCGAACCCGGCTCAACTGCTTGGAAGGCAGCCATACTACCGATGTACTAGCTTCGCTGAACTTGTTACTCATGGTTTAAAAGTTGTGGCTCTAGGCTATGATGTACAAACAAGACGACTAACCATAAGATGCACTTTTTTATTGCACGAGTATTTAAATGATTATTTGACGAGTGCACAATAATACTGTGCAGAAGTGGCGTCTTACTTGATTTTATTCGTGATTTTACAGCCATTGCACCATCTGTGGACCCTCCAGTTGTTAAGTGACAACGTAACAGAAGCACGCGTGCGGTGGTATGCCACAGGCTGTTTTAACGTAAATCTTTGAAAATTCATAACTTTGTTCATTCCTGCATTAAATTTTTATGTATAATCTTGAAAAATGCAGAATAATCACAGCATTAGACAAAATAAATGATTCTCTGTTTCTTCTTCAGGGTAATGCACAGACGTTAACACAGCCGCCTATGACAAATCTCCATAGGCGGCTATGGCCGTACAGGCTAACAGTGCATAACCCTGAAAGAAAAACAAAAAAGAATTTATTTTGCCTAATACTGTGTATTATTCTGCATTTTTCAAGACTATACATAAAAATTTAATGCAGGAATGAACAAAGTTATGAATTTTCAAAGATTTACGTTAAAACAGCCTGTGGCATGGGCCACCGCACGCGTGCTTCTGTTACGTTGCCACTTAACAACTGGAGGGTCCACAGATGGTGCAATGGCTGTAAAATCACGAATAAAATCAAGTAAGACGCCACTTCTGCACAGTATTATTGTGCACTCATTTGACCTTCGCAAGAACCGGTTTCGTAACTGAACGAGTTCAGACTATAATTTTAGTGACATTTATTTTACGTAGGCGCCGCACGGTGGAAACTAGCAAGCCTACTACGTATATATAATATATCAACCTTTATTGAGTTCCGTTTGCTGTTATGCGGCAAAAAACCCCTATTACTAATTAGGGGAAAAGGCACGAATAACCTATTCTTTTTTAAAGTTTTGTAAACAAAACTCGCGCAACGGAAGCATCAATAAGGTAAAAGACCGCTTGCTCTCCTCTACATTACACATGAATCTTTTTTTTTGGTAACAAATGACAACAAATGACAGACGTAGTCTGGCTGACTCTGGCATTCTTTTTGCAAAAGATTCATCACCGTAAAAAAAATTGTCAACCAAATCCAGGTTCATAACACCTCTCTGAAACTTTCGAGTATACATTGAATTTTTGAAATCATAGACTGGCAAGTCAACGGAAATATGTGAACTTATTATAATATGTGTAGTGTGTACCCTGTACGCTTGAATCTTACTGTCAGTCAGCGAAAGGTCACTCTTGTGCACAAAGCCGTAGTGGCAGTGCAGTTGGAATAAAATTGTCGAGTTGACAGACAAGTTTTACTCATGGACTTCACTTTAATAGTTAGAACCTCACTGCGCTCGGTTCGAATTATTGTTTATGTGAAAATTTGCAACACGCAACAGGTTGTATTAACTGTCGTCGAATGTCTCACATGTACACATTCCAACATACGTAGAATCCAAATGCATAATCATAATGATGTTAACTGAAAGCGTAACATAGCCAAAGCACTGCGCAAACAAAACAGTTGACATAGTTTCCTATTACGGAAGGCAGTGTACCGGACTCCACCGTGGTGGCAGGCGGAAGGACGAGATGAATTAAACTGACGAAATCAGGAGGTATCCAACATCTCTGTAGATTGTAGATGCTTAACGATAAAGAAAGTTACCCGGTACACGGTAGTGATGGTATTAATAATTATTAATTATTTGGTGTACAACTGTACATAATATACGAAACGTTCACTTAATTCCCGCACTCCCATACACTTTCTGCATTGTTTTATGGCATTCTATTTGTATGTAGCTGCCAAATGATTTGTGTACGTTGGGGTCCCCAGTCACTATTCAGCCCAAAAAATGCGGAGCCATCTGGGGAACTGCTGCACTCTTCAGCTTCGACAAGAATTAACGGACCATTTTTCCGGCTGGTGATGGCCGAACTAAAAGAAGTGGGCGCTACTGGTGAATCTGTAAGCCAAGCAGACCGTCTGTAAAACGCCGTCGGAAAGTTCATTTTGAGCAAATGCGGAAATCTTGAAAATGTTTTTATTTACTGTGCTGAGTGTGCTCTGGGCACAGCCGTTGAGCTTTGCGATACAGCAACCGCTGCCGACTGCGGAGCCACAACGGTGACCCCACCCGCCATTTCGTCGACGAAAACGTGTCGACCGTCACTAATGCAAGTCGAAAGTCGAACTGTTGAGCCGTCTTAGTTTTCTTGGGTTTTCTAAGGCTTCTTAGTTATTTGTAGGTTTGCTTATGTTTCTAAGGTTTCTAAGCCATCGCTCTCGTGACGCTGGAGGTGGTGCGGTCGACTTTGGAACGGTTGTCGAAGTAGACCAACGCCCATCTTCGGGTGTTACGTAGCTTGCATGTGCGCAGTTGCCCTGTGAATATGGCGCTGCAAAATTCCAGTTTACGAGTACTTACTACTTACTTACAAGTTACGACGCACTACATGTCAGTCTGTCAGATAGAATTCTGTCCCTACTTCTGATTATTTCTGTTTACGAGTAGTTAGTAGACTGTACACTTAATAGTAATCAAACTACTGAAAGCTATCATTGGAGCTCTTTTGGTTTCCCCTTTTCTCCTGTCGCATAATCCAGCAGTACTCGTACTGAATATAATTTACGTGCTTTGGCTACATTAGTTTTAGCCGAGTATCGTCAGTCAGCCATGATTCTGATGACGTCAAAAATGTTTGTGTTGCGAGAAGTCGCGTCTGCTGGGTTAATTGTAGGGTATTTCCTGGGTATGGGAGTTGGGATTGCGAATGTCTACGGTGACAAGCCAAAGAACTCCGCTGCGATGGAGGGCGTGATTGGCCGGGGAGGAGTACTTGGCGGAGCATCCTGTGTGTTTGTCGCCAAGGCCGTCTCTCGCCAAATGGCTGCCATGCCAGTGAGAGTGATGCCACCACCTTCACTGGGTTCTTCGAGTGCTGGATGTATTGGCTGTCTGTGTGGAGCGCTAATGGGATATGTGGCATCAAGATTCACATACGACACGTTCACTCAGGTCCGCAATGGTATGGAACGAAATAAGGAATGACCACCGAAAAGTGTCCAATGCCACTATTTCAAAAGAAACCGATTACCATTACCGAAGGTGTTGACGGGCCGGTGTTGTACTCTTTTAAGCTAATAGCCTAGTTTCAGCAGAATGTCAATAAGAAGTAATGGAGCAGCTAATAATGTGTTAAGTCACATTTTAGTAAGCTCAACTCTCTTTGGTTCGCGGAGTTGGATTTACTGGATTGTAAGTTGGTGACTGTGTTAGTATGTTGTACTAAGCACTGCTCTTCAGACTCAAAACTTAAACTCGGAACTGTGAGAAAAATAGTAAAGTTACGGTTGCGTTGACTGTTGGGCGTCGTTTCTTTGCTTTCGTCTTGATAAGTATAAATAAAACTCGAGTAGATTAGCCCCAAAAAAGGTAAAAAACGGACCTCTCTTATTAACAAGAAGCTCTTGAACGACACAGCATATTCGGGGGTTAAACGTTAACGATGAGGATGGTTTTAATTTTTAAACGTTAACGATGAGAGGATCACAACTGTTTTGATCCTCGCAGCTGGGCCGAAAGTACTGGCACTGTTATCTTACTGATTGTGTTTTGTTTGTACATCTCACCGTTGTCAATACTTTTTTCGAGTCCAGTGCATGTTGCAAAAAATAAAAATCCGGTTTGGAATTTTATGACAACCGATTGCAGGCTTCTTATTTTTTCTTAACATGCAAATAATTTAAGCCCGTACTTTCCAGATCGACTGACATGATTGTATCAATCGACAATCTGAGCATTTCTTTCACTTTCAATACAAGAAACACACACGAAAGCCGCAAACAACAGCAGAAATATATCGACATATGCATGCAACCTCGGCGGGAATGCAACGGAATAGATCATGCTCAAACTAATCATGCACGGCTGCTCACCAAGCCATCTGTTTCCGGCAGTTAAACTCATGCAGCACATTTTCTGACACGGTAAACGGCGCATGTCCCGAAAAAAAAGCGCTCCAGACCCCAGAATCAGAAGCGTGTTACAAACCGGACAAAGATTCCGCGGAAGAATCCTTTAGCAAAACTTTATTCATCACGGATTCCGCCACCTGATTTTCCAGGCCTTCCACCGCTACACGATGTTCCCGGCACAGTGCTTTCAGCTTATCCTTATCTGTAGTCGTGGGCGCAGGGGAGAATTGGGCGTCATGGTAGCCGGTATTAATATCGGCTATCACGGCCCGGTATGGTGGTCAGGTGGGGCGGTAGACTGCGCGCCGACCATAGCCATCGTGCTGCTAGCCATAGCCAGCACCCGCACATCGGACGTGGCTGCGTCGTGGGCCGGGGATGGAAGCCCTGCCGGCAGTTTTGACTTTTGCGCGGAATCATAATCATATTATTTTACGATGCAATGCTGCGCCCTTCGGCGGTTCCGTGTCGTGCTGTATAAAAATTATTCAAAATCAAATTGGCTTTTACAGTACATTAACTATTTGTTTAAAGAGATAAAATTCTATAAAAAGTTACTTATACATATAAATATAATAAATTCCATGTAGAACAGAATTATGATAGGATCAAGAATTCTGGTGCATTCAATAGCTGTTCGCTGGCTGCCGCTGAGTGGCTGGATCGAACTGCGACGTTACCATGACCTCTAGTCCTCTACCATGATGCACCTCATGGCGACTGTTTTGAAGCAGTACCATCCGATACTAAACTAAAAAAATTCTTAATTATAATTAAGGGAAACATAAGACACATGTACAGATTGCAATCAGAATTTGGCCAAAAGATTCTAATACAGTTTTAGAGCTCAGTCATTACTGGTCGGCTGTTTGTCCTAAATGGTTTTTTACAATTTTAAGATACCGGTACATAGCCTCTTTTTAACAACCGGCTATTGCTCGTACAGTTACGGCTTTCAAAAATCATGTATGCAAATCATTCGGCTTCCGAGTGAGATAAAACGGTACAAAAAAGTCTTAATTGTCAGCTAGTCGACGAAAGGTCACTCTTATGCGCAATGCCATGGTGATAGCGCAGCTAACAAAAATCTCGAGGCATAGATAAAAGTAAATAAAACTCATCAAGATTACTTTAATAGTAGATACTCGCTGCGTCCGGTTCAGAATATTGCTGATGTTTGTCAAAATGTACAACAAGTAGTAAAATTATACTAATTCTCGTGGCCGCACGTGTGAAAAAAATTTCATATTATACCCCAAGGTAAGGTATGTATTTGTTCTATACGCGCGCATAAATGCCCTACATAGCTAAGTTATGACAAGTGAAATGTCTGATCGGTGCGTGATAGTGATGCCATACGCTATCACGCACCGAACGACGTTCTTTATGTCCGGTACTTGTATAATATCTGATATGGTGCAGTGCTATATAGTGCTAAGCGCACAATTTTAAAACAATAGTTCTGTTTTTTGCAACGGCAATGTTCGATTAACAAAACTACTGTTTCGCAGGGCAATCGCTGTGATAAAATCGGATTAGTTTTGGATCGAACCCATCAAGATTCTGAGTGATATTTTTTATTTTTGAGCGATTTTAAGGCGACCGCCGTTTCTGGTCATTCGGTTTTTAGTTTAAAGCTCTTGAATTTATTTTGCCTGAAACATGGAGACCAACGATTTGCCATTTTATCATCATAACATTGCAGCTGCTACTTATTCTGATAAAAATGCTACCAGGCAGCCGGACTATTTTTATTCGGGCTCTGGAAAATCGAGCCTGCCGGAAGTGACGCCGGTTATATCTGTTATATCCACCGGACCCGTCATAAAATCTCATAACGGCATACGAGTAAGAGATTGTTTACTTTGCTAAGTTTATGATATAACGCATTTGTAAATTTGCATTCCAAAAAATTATCTCCTGTTTTTTGAAGGTAGTGTATTGCGAATGTTAACTGAACGACTAACAACGATTGAACGATTATGATTATTTTTAGTACCTCAAGACGCTATCTGGATTCTTGAAAATTATGGAAATGGTAAGACCTCGTGCAGCAAAGTAGCTTCTTGGTACTGATTGTGGTGCCTTTGCCATGTTGATAGTGAGACAGCTTCATATTTTGCACATAAAATTCGTAATCTCAATAGAATTTTTTCGAATATACTTTTTTTTAGCAAGTATAAGTATTTTTTTAACAAGTTTTTTACAAATTTGTATTTGATTGTATTGTTTACTAAAACATGTACAAGAGAGAACGAAAGCCTTGAATATTTAAAGACTACACCAAAACCTATTAAGTAGCCCCGATGTAAAATGAATAATAATTATAAATAATTAGTACGAACGTATAGCGGTTATTTTTAACTGCAGATATGCACTTTGACAGCATTTATTGTGTCCATCATCACATGGTCATCGCATTCGTTTTACGGTGGGCCATCAAAAAAGGCTTTAATGTACTATCCGTATGCTTATGGTTCTGCACTGTGGACGGATATCGCCACCGCCGTTGCCTTCCTTATTACCCTGGCACTGCTCATTACCTATTTGTCTGGCCTCGTAGAAAAATTTGCTACAATTCCATGGATCAGCATTGTGAAGATAATAATTTTTAAAGTTGCATGCGCCAAGTCAAACATAATATCATTGTCACCTTTTCAGGAACTGGGCTACTCCATAGTTGCAATTATTTGTATGCTGATCGCTGGAGGTGTTATGATACCATATAGCAATCTGGATGTCTACAGATGGATATGTGTGGTCGGTAGATATACAAAGTAGTCAGTACTGTACTCTGTTGTTTCTAGACCATAATATTTTTACTTGAATCGTAGTGACTTTATGTCGACATTTATCGAACAAAAAACGGCAAGCCACGGGTCATGGACCTACATGTATAATTCAATATACTCGTACATTTTTTCTAAACCAACCAGAGTAAACTGCATATTATTTCGAAGAAGATTTTGTGAATTTTGAGTCTCGTTGGCCATAAAGAAAAACGCCTACAAAGAATAGCTAGTACGGAAATATTGTGCACATTTAAGGAAAAATACAAGTACTTATACTACTGAGACAAAATCTTTAATTTTGTACATATGTACTTTTGCACGGTAAAAACTTCAGTTGCAAGTTAATCTTGCAAGTTAATTGTTCTATACATAATAACAGAATTCCAGAAAAAATACAAAAATACCGCACGATATTATGTGGGTTTTTTCATCAACCCACGTTTAGTCTGACATGTCTGACATGTTTTTATCATAATTATTATTATTTTGCAGGCTTTCTGCTGGGCAGCGATGATTGCTTATGCAATCGATGCCTTCCTTAAATACAAAATGTACAGAAACCGTCAACCAGCCCAAGGTATAGCGGTCATTATTCAACAAATAATAAAATGGCAATGTCCCAGTGCAAGTAATGCCACTTACGTTTCGATATCTCCTGATGTGGAAATTAAGATTTACCAGTACATACATTGAAAAATTAATGGTTTTTCACTTGCAGAAAGAAACCAAAGTGGAAAATATTGACAAATGAAAAACAAATTAATAGGACTGCAGTCCGATGCGCATATTCTTTACGTATTTGGAGATTTCAGCAAATACACGCAACCGCGGTGAGCTTGCGCCCAGTCAATTCATTTCAATCTTGCTTTTATATCATTTGCCTCACGTCTCACATGGATGAATGGATGATCGTAATCTGCCAATAATTACTATACCGGTACCGTTTTGCCAGTTTTGCAGTTTCCAGCAAAATAAGTCGCGTACAGTGCGATTATCAGCACATTAAAAGCTGTGATCCAGTTCTTGCGACAGAATCTGTACTAAATAGTATGCATGTACGTAGTTTTGCGCAACAGCGTATCCGGCTTGGGAATGTTAGTGTGTATTGTATGCTGTCAGTGTGAGGAAAACTGTGATCATGACCTTTATTACCGCGCACTGCACTGTGCTTCTATTAGTTTTGGGTGACAATAATTCGGTGTCTGAATGAACCAAAGTTGTCCGCACAACCATGGCAATGAAATCGAAGTTATCTGGGCTAACAAAGCTTGAGCAAATTTTGGAAGCTCATTTTATTGCGAAGATGTAACTGCTGCTTCCGGCCATACTCTCCCTGTGTTTGATATATAGGAGGCCAACAGCACACTGAGAGCAGCTTTTACATTATGGATCTGCACAAATAAATGATTTGCAATAATGGAGACCTGGAATACAGCTAAAGAACGGCAATAAACAATTCTACGCTCATCAAGTGCTTTGCAACAGTTGCATAGTACCCTAACGTACATGTAACATACGGCATTTTCATCTAAAACTTAATTTCAGCTGCTCCAATGATGCACAGGAAAATTGTCGAGTAAATGTGCCATGACTTTAGACTGACAGTAAGGCAATCATGCACTCGGTGTCAGTGAAATAACATGATCACTGCATGATCTTGATGTGATACAGATTATTATGGAGATATCTACCGTACACCGTAATTGCGTACGATCGATTGTATTTGTAAGTAATTCTGCAGCATATTTCTAGCGTACCGACTACCGAGCATACGGTGTACCACAAATCGAAAAGTTAACTTCATTGTTTCCTGATAGTACCAATCTCTGCGCAATCAGCTATCCTGTAACATTTTATTTTAAATTAACCCTGTAATTGGGATGTGTGACAAATCGGAGCAATAGTTTCCGTAAGCGATCAACGAAGTTCGGTCATTAGTGTTGTTGAGGTTTCATTATTTTCGGTCAGTGTCCAACAAATTTTTGAATAGTACAGTACTTGTAACATGGAGACCAACAAATTCCCATTGCATCCCCACAACATCGCGATCAATACTTCCGACAAATATAGAGATATCTGGCCGCAACCGCGCTACTTGTATCCTGGATCCGGGAAACTGGATGTGCGAGAAATGCCCGTTAATTCCACTAGCATCGTCAAAGCTAAAACGTACTTGGATATTAATGTACGACAGTAATTTTCTATTTTACTATCAGCTTTAAATTTGACAGTCTTTGTGTCGCTATAAATGTACTATATATATACTGAATACCGGTGTTATTTCAGATCGACACTGCGTAGCCTCATTTATCGTTAATAAATTAATACGTTCTTATTGACTTGATTATAGTATATAAAGACTTTCTCCGGAATCCTGAAAATTATTGAACTGGTAAGAAACCCTACAGGTGACCATACGCGTGCTAATTGCCGTTAAGATTTGAAAAACTCGCATCAAGAAGTGCTCTATGACAGCACCTCTGATATCGGCAACCTTTTTCCAGGTGCTTATTCTGACGGCAGTCATTCTGGCGGCGGCTGCTTGGAGCATCAGATACTCGTACCGGCCATTTTGGCACTGGTGGCGCCAGTGCACTCACATCGAGTGCAGAATGGAGTTCCCCATTCATTGTGAATGCCTAAACATAGTCACAAGTACGGGATTCCTCATTACACTGATACTGCTGTTCCTGTATTTTTCCCGCCTAATTAAGCCAGAACGTCATGTTGGCTGGTTGTTTGTGGTGAGTACATTAGGATTGTTTCTTTTTTACGATATGTGTCATGTAGTTATTATTGAGTAGAGCAGGTTATTGAAGGTATACAATACCAAGTAAGTTTTGTACGCACCTACTCTACTAATACTACTATATACCAGTATGAAAAAGCGTCTGCATGCGTTGAGTATTAGTAAAGAATTAATTTTTAATGAGCGGTTCCATTTTAACCTTTCATAGGAGGCAATTTACTGCGGTATTGTGGCTGTTCTACTTTGTACTGCCGGAGCATTCATGATTCCGTACACCGATATTGATAACGTTCAAGGCGTTTGCACGGTAGTAACCTTTATTAACCCACTGAGGGAGACTCCGTCAGGATAGTCAGGCTATGGACGCCTTCGTACTATCGGGAGTGTACGCGTGAGCCAGCACTATATCGTCAGGCAGTACTATTGTTTAGAGCCATTCTCACTGTTATACGGCATTGCGAGCCATAGCACGGCAGCGTATGTGCTTGTACGAGTTTACTCGTGCTACATCGCCAAAACATCCCAGGAAGCCGGCGCTGCCGCCACCATGGCGGAGGCGAAGAAAAACCATAAGCACGGATATTTACGCGATAATTTTAATTTCTCTGCTTTGGTTTTTGAAACAATGGGTGTGTGGGGTAAAGAATCGAAATGTAAGATGTCTACACTCGGTAAGATGCTTTTTGAGAGGACACAGGAGAAACGGTCCACTCAGTTTCTGAAGCAGAGAATCAGTGTTGCTTTAATGCGAGGTAACGCTGCTTGTGTTCAGGAAACGTTTTGTATCGGTAAGAGACTGGACGAAGTGTATTATGTGTTGAAATGATGAACTGCGTAATTTGCTTTTAACCTACAGTATGTTAATGTGAATAACCCAATTAAAAATGCACTCGTGCAGTGCACTACGTACAACTCGTACATCAGCCACTCTCACTTCAGGCATAGTACTTTGCAGGTAGCCAGCACAGACTTCACAGTCTGCACAGTCATTACGATATTCGGTGATTTCCATGCTTGGCATTCCTACCTGTGTCATAGGATGATGTTTATGTTGTGATTTATATATTTATGAGCCATAAATATTGATATTTACGTCTTCCCAGTGCGTTTTCCCTATTTCCGGTAGAGTCGTAGGCTCTAGGCCCCTTACGTAGTGTACGGCCTAGATCGCATGGTAGCAGAGATCGTGTCGGTTCTCGGAAGAGCAGCGTGTGGAGTCCTCCCTCTGGATTCTGCGCGTTTTCGTCCCAGTCGACAGTAACACCGAAGCGAGGAGCAGCACCTGGTGCGCGAAAGACTGCTAAAACCAGTCACCAGGTTTTTCAAGGATCAGCCCAACAACGGATTGAAGTAAGAACCTTCTAACAGCCAAACCAACTCATTTTTCTTTTCATTTCTATCACTAACCTAATTACAGCACTTTCTTTTAATTTAATTCTTCACATTATCAGAACAATAGCGGCTATCCAGAACAACTCATATTTAGTTTGTATAAGCCAGATCACACATCAAAACCACTTGTTGATATTAGGTCTTCAGCCAGCTCTACATTTCAGTCCTACAGTTCACATATTCTTTTATTTGTCAGATCTCCATTTCAGTTAGCCAGTATAATATTCTCCACCGATTTCAGTACGAATCGTGCTGTGAATTTGTGGAAAAATTAGCCATTCAACCTAGTGAGTTTCTTCGGAAATTCACTGTACATCAGCCAGCCAGACACGATTTGTTTCGTGTGCAAAAACACGTATTCTTGCAGCCAGTAAAATCAGCGTTATTTCAGTCCAAAATTCAGCGTTTTTCAGCCAGCGCAAATCTCTGAGTTTTTTCGAAAGGTTACAATCTTTCGGAAATTTCCGGGTATTGCGCACCGTTCATCGCTCTTGTAGGCAGGTAAATTCATGTTCAGCGTTGGAAAGATTCCAATCGCTGATAACCACGCCGCCTTTGTATTCGGCTCGCTCGAATACAATAGCCGCTTAAAGCCATCGCACTCAGAGACACAGGAGAGAGAGGAAATTTTCAGAAGTCATTTCTGAAAAACATCCTCTTGCATCACACAGCCAGACATCCAGGCAGTACAAAGTGGCATTTTTGAGCGCTGTTGATTTCGATTGATAGCGTTCGAAATTGCAACCATTCCAAAGGCACCTTCAAATTTAAAATTAATTCAGTCAGATCTCACACAATTCAATCCTGATTATTACAGCATCATTTTCATAACGCCAGTAAAAATGTTCAGACGGCTGAGAGACACACTCTCACCGTTTGTGCGAGCAAGCCAGACGCCAGAAACAACCGATAATGAACCGTTGTCAAGTGAGGCAGAAATACCGGCTCAGGAACGTGTTTCACGTTCCAAGGCACAAAAACTGAAGGCAGGAGGACATGATGTCCCATACCACACGTTGGAAAGCATTAATCAGCAGCAAGCATTCGCCAGAAGCAGTAAGGTGGCACGTTCTCCGGAACGGAAGTCCACTGGACCTGCACAACCAGAAACCATTCAGGCAGAAATCCACGCTCAGCCAGATGATGCTGACTCCATTATTGGAGGTCAACATGATCTGCCAGAGCTCAGTGATATGTCTCAGTCAGAAGATGAACAGAAGAAGCCAGAAGAAACCCCGCCAGTTCAACACGAAAATGCTCATCAGTCACCATCGTCAAATGATCCAGCGGCATATCACACACCACAGGAACAGGACCCAGACCCAACCCAGGAGAATGCTCGACTGCGTGAGTTATGGGCCAAGGCAAAAATCGAACTATTTCGTGAAAAAGGGCAGTCAAATTCGCAGGCAGCTAAAATCCAGGAACTAACTGACTTCATCAAACGCCAGGACGAAATGATTAATTTTCAGAAAACGTACATCGAAAAGAGGGATCAGCGTTCGCAGCAGCGCGACGCTGATAAAGCCAGCACAATTCAGAACAATGCCGATATTGAGAAGGCACTCCAGGAATCGTACCTGGAAAGGCAGAAATTATAGGAGAGGGCAGAGTATGCTCATCACCAGTTGCACAAAGAGGCACAAAAACGTATCCAGGCAGAATCACAGAAGGCAGAAACTCTTCAGGAAGAACTCAGACACTACAGAGAGCGGTACACTCATTACAAGGAGAGGTGCGGTGAACTTGAGGCCTGTTTGATCGAGGAGCCTTCTTCCGGTCAGCCAGCCCCTCCCCCACCAACCTCCCGACATCAGAGACACCAGTCACGTCGAGATGAATCACCGGAAGTGGTGGAAATCCCTCAGGATAACACCACTCACCGGCGTCCATCTCGACGCCGTAAGGCAGAACACCGCGAACATGTCCAGTTCAGAACTACAGAGCCAGATGAAGAGATCACCATCATCCCACAATCACACCCAACTGTGGTAACCCCACAATTGGACATCGGCAGCATAATTGGCAAAGCACTGGAAGCACAGTCCAGCGGTTTTGCTCAATTATTACCACAGGTAGCCAGTAAGAAAACCAAGAACTGCTTCGTACCGAAGTATAAAGGCACAAAAGACACCGTTGAAGGCTTCCTCACACTGTTTGAGTTGGCCAAAAAGGCAGGCGAATGGGAAGAAGAGGAAACTCTTAACCGTTTCGCCGGTGCACTTCAGGATGAGGCAGCTACATGGTTCAGTGGTATTATGGCATCTTCAACGCCAGTTACCACTTACGCAGAAGCCAGGAAGAAATTGTTGGAGCGCTTCGGCGATCCAGACAAGGCCTTCCATGCCACACAGACACTCATGACACGCCAGTTCAACCCAGCCAAAGAAACCATCGAGCAGTACTTTCAGGCAATGTCATCATTGTCTGATCGTAGTGGTCAAACTCAGCCAGCATTCCTCGTCTCCTGCATGCTGAAGGGACTGGAAACAGCCCCTAAGCTGCACGAGAATGTTGCACTCATGATGCCAAAAACACCAGTGGAACTTCTCCAGAGAGCCAGATATCTGTAGTCGTTGCACTTAAGCGGCAGTAGCAGCAAAACAGCCAACCCTACAAAAGCCAGCTCATCCAAAGTATCGTACGCACAGGCAATTAACCCCGAATGTCAGCCAGATAATCCCGGCGTTCGCAGCGCTGGTGGTCAGCAGGCCGCCGGTGGTAATGCAAATCGTCCACCTCGAGGCAGGTCACAACAACGTAACCCACAAGCCAGCGATAAACCGCGAGAAGGTGTCGATTACTGCAAGTGGTGCTGCATCGAAGGGCATACCTCCGATGTGTGCACACATGCAGGAAAGGCAAAGGCAGATAATCCCGTGTATCAGAAATATCACTGGCCAGATGGCACACGACGCTCATTGAAGGAATGGCAGGACAACAAAGCTCGTCGTGAAGCCAGAAAACAAAGCCAGAGTCCAGAAAACCGCACTAGTAACGAACGCAAAGCCAACACAACAGACCAGAACGACAAAAGGCAGGATAACGCAGGCAATGAGCGCCGTGGTGGCAGTGGTCGACCGTCAGTTCGTCCCGCGCCATCACCGCGTCCTCGTCAGTCCAACCGTTTTAGCGAGCTATCGAACTCACTGTCAGACAGTGACAGTGATGATTCCGATACAGAATCAGTGACATCAGACCGTGACATCAGTGATGAGCCAGATTTAAACGATTAAGGGCAGCAGCAACCGGCTCTGCTGTCCCGCATCCCAAAAAACCGCCGGATAAGCCAGTACTACAAAAAGTCCCAGCAAATAAGCCAGTACAACGGAAAGCAGCAGTAAACAGGCCAGCCACGAAACCGGTAACAAGTAACCCAGCTTGTCACTCGGTTACGGTGGTACCACAGCAAGTTACAGCTAAGCCAATCCAAAAACAAATCAAAACACCTAAGCCAGTGAATCAAACTAATTTAAGCCAGTTTATCTCTCAAGCTACACTTGAGATCATTCCAGAGCTAACCACAAATAAATCAGAACAACCAGAGCAGAAAGCCAGTGTAACATCCAACGGTTTCACCGTTGAAAGTGACTGTGAATGCACTGTTGATTTAAACCCAGCAGTACATCATTGTCACATCGGTATTTGCGATGAGCCAAGAAAATCGCCGACGTTAACTGACCCAGTTACGATCGGTACAGCCAGAGTAAACGCCATGATCGATACAGGGGCGGAAACGTCTCTGATTTCTGATCAGTTATGCAGACAGTACAACCTCATTCAGAAGCCATTATCAAAACATATGCACATCAGGGGAATAGGAGGAGTTTGCAACTTCTCCGTGACGCATTACGCCAGTGTTCCCATAAAAATCAACGGCAACGTAGTGCTTCGCAGCATGTACGTTAAGCCGTTATGTGCAGACAGTGTGCATCTCCTTATAGGACAGGACTTCTTAGCAAATGCGGTCATGGTGGCAGACTGTGGTAAAGTCTCCCACCTCCGGCCAAAATTCAAGCGAGTACTCCCATATCCTGTAAATCAGTCTAACCCAGCAAAGCCAGCTGCGTTAGAAGTATATCAGTCCAGTGCTGCTGTATCAGCCCCACTGGAAGTAAATCAGTCCAGACCGGCATTATATGCCACCCTGGAATCAGATCTCGCTAAGAAACCCGGAGTGTCGTCTTACCCCATACCAGTGGCAACTGCGTTGCCACTGGATGCAGCTCAAAAAGGGGATAAGCGGCATAAAAATCTTTTGCACACTGAAGCACAGCCTCAAGCCAGGAAACAAAAATCAGTTAAGCCAGTTCAAAATAAAATCAAGCCAGAAATTAAATCAGTAAAAAAGCCAAAAATTATAAAATTGCCAGATCTAACACTCCCTAAGCCGGATGAAAACACAGTGAATCAGATAAATGCGTGGTTAGCATATCGAGTCTACGTTAGGCAGATACAAAAGTTGGCAAATTACAAACATCGTATTTGCAAATTTTACCGCAGTCAGATAAAAGCCAGAAAAACCATTAAAACCAAAGGCTTAACAGCTACCTCAGTTAAATGGATCCTCACGAAGCAGTTAGAAGGCATTAAACAGGAGATTTTGTACGAGTATAAATTACTCGAACAAGATCGGAGGCAGATCGACACCAAGTTCACTTCATATCAGATGCCAAAGCCAGAATGCCTTGAGATCACGACACTGAAAATCAATAAATGGCCTCATCGAGTGTGGAAGTCACTCGATCCCGCCATTTTTGGTTCATTTACATATCAGCCCTACAATCAAGCCAACGCTAGCAGAACACCGATGATTATCAAAAAGCGCGTAAAATTCAGCGATGATTTGCTGCATATTCGCCTTTTTGATAAAAATAAGCCAGTTAAATCGAATCCAATTAAAAATATCAAACCTACAAAAGGCATATTACCGCTTAAAAACCTGTATCAAACCCCAA